TATTTTTTGCTTGTTGACTTAAGTCCCTTTTGGATTCTGGGTAATAGGCCTTTGCTGTATGCATAGTTTGTGAATATTTTCTTCCATTCTGTAGGTGTCTGTACATTCCCTTGATAGTTTCTCATGTGTGCAGAAGCTCCTTAGCTTAATTAAGTCACACTTGTCAATTTTTTGTGATTCTTGCAATTGCTTTTGAAGACTTAGCCATACATTAATTAACAAGTGTGATGTCCAGAAGAGTATTACCTAGTTTTCCTCCAGGATTTTTTTTTTTTTTTTGAGACAGAGTCTCACTCTGCTGCCAGGCTCCAGGCTGGAGTGCAGTGGTACAATCTCGGCTCACTGCAACCTCCGCCTCCTGGGTTCAGGCAATTCTCCTGCCTCAGCCTCCTGAGTAGCTGGGATTATAGGCACGTGCCACCATGCCCAGCTAATTTTTTTTATTTTTAGTAGAGACGGGGTTTCACATGTTGACCAGGATGGTCTCGATCTCTTGACCTCGTGATCCACCCACCTCTGCCTCCCAAAGTGCTGGGATTACAGGCGCGAGCCATCGCGCCCAGCTGGTCTTTGGTATTGTAAACAGGGCTGCAATGAATATACTTGTGCATGTGTCTTTAAAATAGAATGATTTATAATCCTTTGGGTATATACACAGTAACGAGATTGCTGGGTCAAATGGAATTTCTATTTCTAGGTCCTTGAGGAAGCACCACAGTCTTCCACAGTGGCTGAACTAGTTTATACTCCCACCAACAGTGTAAAAGTGTTCCTATTTCTCCACATTCTTTCCAGTATCTGTTGTCTCCAGATTTTTTAATGATCGCCATTCTAACCAGCATGAGGTAGTATCTCGATGTGGTTTTGATTTGCATTTCTCTAATTATCAGTGAAGATGAGCATTGTTTTCATGTGTTTGTTGGCCTCACATATGTCGTCTTTTGAAAAATGTCTGCCACTTTTGGATGAATGTTTTTTCTTGTAAATCTGTTTCAGCTCTTTGTAGATTCTTGATATTAGCCCTTTATCAGATGGGTAGACTGCAAAAATTTTTCTCATTCTGTTAATTCCTGGTCCTAACGATTGTTTCTTGCTGTGCGGAAGCTCTGGAGTTTAATTAGATCCCATTTGTCTATTTTGGCTTTTGTTGCCAATGCTTTTGGTGTTTTAGTCATGATGTCCTTGCCTATGCTTATGTCCTGAATGGTTTTGCCTAGATTTTATTCTAGGGTTTTTATGGTGTTAGGTCTTATGTTTAGATCTTTAATCTGTCTGGAGTTAATTTTAGTGTAAGATGTCAGGAAGGAGGCCAGTTTCCGCTTTCTGCACATGGCTAGCCAGTTTTACCAACACCATTTATTAAACAGGGAATTCTTTCCCCATTGCTTGTTTTTGTCAGATTTGTCAAAGATCAGATGGTTTTAGATGTGTGGCATTGCCTCTGAGGCCTCTGTTCTGTTCCATTGGTCTACATCTCTGTTTTGGCAAGAGTAACATGCTGTTTTGATTACTGTAGCCTTGTAGTATAGTTTGAAATCAGGTAGTGTGATGCCTTCAGCTTTGTTCTTTTTGCTTAGGATTGTCTTGGCCATGTGGGCTCTCTTTTGGTTCCATATGAAGTTTAAGGTGTTTTTTTCCAGTTCTGTGAAGAAGGCCATTGGTAGCTTGATGGGGATAGCATTGAATCTATGAATTACTTTGGGCAATATGGCCATTTTCATGATATTGATTCTTCCTAGCCATGAGCATGGAATGTTTCTCCACCTGTTTGTGTCCTCTCTCATTTCATTGAGTGGTGGTTTGTAGTTCTCCTTGAAGAGGTCCTTTACATCCTTTGTTAGTTGAATTCCTAGGTATTTTATTCTCTTTGTAGCAACTGTGAATGAGAGTTTGCTTATGATTTGGCTCTCTGTTAGTCTGTTATTGGTGTATAGAAATGCTTGTGATTTCTGCACATTGATTTTGTATCCTGAGACTTTGCTGAAGTTGCTTATCAGTTTCAGGAGATTTTGGGCTGAGACGATGGGGTCTTCTAAATATACAATCATGTCATCTGCAAATAGAGACAATTTGACTTCCTCCTTTCCTGAGTACCCTTTATTTCCTTTTCTTGCCTGATTGCTCTGGCTAGAACTTCCAATACTATATTGAATAGGAGTGGTGAGAGAGGGAATCCTTGTCTAGTGCCAGATTTCAAAGGGAATGCTTCCCGTTTTGGCCTATTCAGTATGATATTGGCTGTAGGTTTGTTGTAAATAGCTTTTATTGTTGTGAGATATGTTCTTCAGTACCTAGTTTATTGAGAGTTTTTAGCATAAAGAGCTGCTGAATTTTGTCGAAGGCCTTCTCTGCATCTATTTAGATATGTGGTTTTTGTCTTTGGTTCTATTTACGTGGTGGATTATGTTTATAGATTTGTGTATGTTGAACCAGCCTTGCATCCCTGGAATGAAGCCTACTTGATCGTGATGGATAAGCTTTTTGATGTGCTGTTGCAGTCGGTTTGCCAGTATTTTATTGAAAATTTTTGCATCTATCTATGTTCATCATGGATATTGGCCTGAAGTTTTCTTTTTTTGCTGAGTCTTTGCTGGGTTTTGGTATCAGAATGATGTTGGTCTCCTAAAATGATCTGGGAAGGATTCCCTCTTTTGTATTGTTTGGAATAGTTTCAGAAGTGTTTTAATACCAAAGATGTGTGGGAGCATATCTGTTTTAAGCAATAATACTTTAAAATTGTTCTAAAGAAGTAGATGTGTTTCCCAGGTACTAAACAAGCAGTTCAAAGTAGACAGGGAAGAGAAATGGCTATCAGTGTTGTACGGCTCAACAGGCAACACTTGCTGCTTTCTACATTGGCTCTACTTGTAAGACTCTGGAGATTCCACTAGAAATACTTGTATTTAAAGGGTAACTATGTGAGGAAATGATATCTTAATTTGCTTGACTATAAGAACCACTTCGCTATAAATAATTATATTAAAACATCATATTATACCCTTAAATAATGTAGATTAAGAAAACTAAAATGAACCAAAAAAGCTACAATTATTTGTGTTTAGTAAACCACAAGTTTCAGGTTTCACCCTTGTACATTTCACCCACTATCTAGAAAAAAAATAGGCATTTGGCACTGAGGAATAATTCAGAGCAGCAACTCCTAGGGGAGAACTAGATGGCTGGGTTGATGAATAAAAAGAACTAAAGCATCTCTGAACGTAATTACTTCTGACACTGATCAAGGCATTTGAAGCGGGCTTGTTCTTTCTGCCTTCCACACCCTCCTCAGGCTGAACAAGGTGTTTTTTAACCACTTTGCGAATTATAGCTGTTTTCATTCCTGTGATAATTATTCCCTATTTCACAAAAATGCCTTTCTGTAACATCTTGAAAATGTTACCCAAATAGTCTGTCTTGAGGTACCCTCTAGTGATAATATTAAAGATCATAATCAAACACAGTTCTATGCCTGAGTGTCAGGATGTGCCCAGAGCAGCAGGACCATTTGACACTTTGGGTTTAGGTTGTGATCCACCAAAAAAAAAAAAAAATTAAACTAATATTTCTATCTAGGGAAATCCTGACAAGTAATTTTTTAACAAGTTCACTTAATTATAAAGCTTCAAAAATATGTAGTAAAAAAACTAATAGATCATGTTAATTACCTGAGACTTTTCAGGGGAAAAAAGCTATAAAAAAAGCAAAAAAGAAAGAAAATGAGAGACAGAAAGTATCCTTAACTAATATTTTAAAGGTAAGGTTCCTTATTAATACTATTTTTCAAAATTACATTATCAGATTAGCATTCACTTCCTACTCATCTCCTGAAGTCATCTCACTAAAAATTACATGTTCAAAACAACTCGATGAGCTTATTTTATTTTCTATGAGTGTATGTTTTGACTTACTTCATTAATTTTTTTGAAATGGAACTGTTAGCTTTTAATGTTAATGCAAGGGCTTCCTTATATTCTAATTCGGTTGTAACCTTTTCATAAGCAGTTTCCATTTTGGAGAGTTCACATTTCACGTGGTGGAGTGCGAGTTTCTTCTTATTTAGTGAAGCTGCCTTATCCTTGTTTAACTGCTCTAAATGTTTTTCATATTCTGCTTCTTTCTAAAACAAATAAAAAGTATACACTTTTAAAACAATTGTAACCTAATTATCAGATATTTGTTGTCTTCCATTTTGAGTCAGTGGTTCAGAGAACAATTTTAAATCCATTGAAAAAGGCTGAAGGTTAAAATATTTATCAACAATATCAACAAAACTAATAACTGAACTCAGAATTCAGTCTGATTTATAAACATTAAAATCATTATTATGTTAGTATTAATGTAATCTGGTTATATAAAAAGTAATATAATCCATTTTTAATTTTCTTTTTGAGACAAAGTCTAGCTCAGTTGCCAGGCTAAAGTCCAGTGGCATGATCTCAGCTCACTGCAACCTCTGCCTCCTGGGTTGAAGTGACTCCCCTGCCTCAGCTGCCCCAGTAGCTGGGGTTACAAGCATGTGGCTCCACGCTCAGCTAATTTTTGTATTTTTAGTAGAGATGGGGTTTTGCCATGTTGCCCAGGATGGTCTCGATCTACTGACCTCGTGATCCACCGACCTTGGCCTCCCAAAGTTCTGGGATTACAGTCGTGAGGCACATTTATCATTTTAAAAACTGAGCAATGAACAATGTAGCTTAAGACCAATTCAAAAGTATCACATAATTTCCAAATCACAATTTTATCTTCTGCCAACTAGTCTTAATAATCAAATGACTCTATAGTGAGGGTCATTACTCTGAAAGGTTGATTTTGTTATAATAATAATAAAAATTTAAATATTTAAAAGGGAAAAGAGATGTCATTTTTTTTCTAAAAATCTACAAGGCAGATTGTTATAAGAGATGCAGAGGAAATACAATATATACATACCCAAAATATAATTTGCAGTGAAAGGAATGAAAGCATATTACAGATAAACTTACCTGATTTTAAAAACTAACCTGTAAATGGGTTTCTTCTAATTTTTCTAATGCCTGCTTTGCCATTTCTTCTAGCTCTGATTTATATTCTTGTACTGTATCAAGTTCTATCATACTGTTTTCCATATGTGTGTTAAGATTTGGTATTTCTTCTTCTAACATCTTTTTATCCTCCTCAAGTTTTTCACATTCCTGTTGCACTTTTTTCATAGATAATAACTCCTGCTGAATAACCTGATTGTCTTCAGCCAAACTGGCATGTTTTGAAGATAGAGCTTCCTTCTCTGCTATAAGATCATCCACCTGCATGAATAAAATAATACAGCTTGATAATGAAGTCGGCTGAGAATAATACAGAACCAACAGCAAATTTTGAAATGCGTTTACTTAAAATAAAATATTATCTATAATGTAGTAGATTCTTCAAATATGAACCCCTAAATTACTCAGCATTTCAAGAACAAAATCAAGGCCACAAAGTTAAGTCACAGAATTATATTCCTTGCTATTATCATCTCTGCCACAGAACTTTCCCACTTGATCTTACTTTCACTTTTCTGAGAGTTTATTTTGTTCCTTTTTAAATGGCACTAAGTTATGTTGATAAAAAGTGTCTCACCCCCTTCTCTCATTATCATTTCCCATAATTTGTCAGAAAGTTTTCAGAAATATAATATTGAGTTATTTAGGTCAAAGTTAATAAATTGCTTCAAAAGAGAAGCTATTTTCATCCCTTTAAAAAATAGAATATTGGTCAACCTTACTGACTCCCTTCTCATGAATAGAATGCTGTAAACGGGATACCATGTGGCTTCTCTATCTCAGACTACTTTTCCTTTGAACTGAACCCCCAGATTGTGAGAAAACTCAGGCCACAAAGAGAGCGTGGGAGTGCCAGTGTTCATGCTGCCTGCCCCAATCAAGGTTCCAGTCAATGGCCAGCATCAATCATTGTTCCAGCCAATGGCCAGCATCAACCACGTGGGTGAGCCAAGCTTCAGAGGCTTCCATTTCCCCAACTCATCAGCTGTTCCTGGGGAAGCTGAGGGAAGCAGAAACAAGCTTTCCTGGCCAAGCTTTTTCCAAACCACAGATTCATGAACAAAATTAACTTTTTTTTTTTTTTTTTTTTAAGCCACAGAACTCTGGGTAATTGATAGAAAAATAAGTTTTAAAAAGGGACAACAGAAAACATAAACTATGCAGTAGAAAAGAGTGCCCTTTTAAGTAGGACCTAGTAAATGCTGAGATTGATTTACTGATGACAATCATTATCGAGAAGCAGCAGATAACCAGGAGAGAGACATAAGCTGGTGAGGAGGAACTTTTCCTGAAACCCCCTTCAATTATAAGCTCTGATAACAAGGCAAGGGTGTCTCTTTAGAATTTTCCCTCAAGTTAGGAAATAAACTAGGGAGCAAGAAGACATGAAATTTAAAAAAACAACTAGAAATATTTGGTCACATAACTAAAATAAGACCCTTACCTGATTTCTGTTAAATAAAATTCTAAAGAAGAAGCTTTAAGTATTTATTCATCAATCTAGTATTTCATTTTCATTTTCTTTTTCTCAACCAGGAAATAAGGGGAACATTATGGAATTGTTTTTAATCTTCGCAGAAGTAAAATAAGCATAGCACACTTTGAGTGTTAAGAAAGCCAATGCAACGTTTCCTTTACCTTACTTCAAGCTTGTTTGTGTGGACCAGTGAAGACCATCCCATCACTATGTTATACCACAATGCTTCTCTATAGCACACACTTTGGCTCTGGAAATTTGAAATTCAAAATACTCATCTACTATTTGTCTCTGATAAATTGCCTAAGCATTACCTGATTATTTAGTGCTGCACTCCTAAAAGTTTTCCTTGAAATGAGTTCATTTTTTTTTTTATTCTAAGAATTCTCTACTGAGCTAGAAAGCAGAGCTTTGCATCTCTGTTTCAGTGAAAGGAGGTCAGTACAGGGAACTGTGGTTTCTGAGGATGCAGGATCTGCACCAAGAAAAGAATGAGCCACAGTGCTACACAGAGAACCAGCTACCAGGTGGAAAGAGGATCTGTGAACTGACAGATGATGACTCCACTTGATTTCCACAGAGGAAAGCTGACAGCTCTGACTTACACTTCTCATTCCTGGATGGTACACATCTGTGGATAATTCTATGAATTATAATGAGTTAGTAAAGCATAATGCACTAAATGGTAGCTATGTCAGCAGATCCTGTGACCAAAATTTACTGAAAATGAAACTAAAGAGGGAGGCACTAGATAAGAGACTAATGTTTGAATGGAGAAAAAAAGAAATAAGGCCAGGCGCGGTGTCCCATGCCTGTAATCCCAGCACTTTGGGAGGCTGAGGCGGGTGGATCATGAGGTCAGGAGATCGAGACTATCCTGGCCAACATGGTGAAACCCCGTCTCTACTAAAAATAGAAAAATTAGCTGGGCATGGTGGCGTATGCCTGTAGTCCCAGCTACTTGGGAGGCTGAGGCAGGAGAATTGCTTGAACCCGCGAGGCAGAGGTTGCAGTGAGCCATGATTGTGCCACTGTACTCCAGCCTGGCGCCTGGCGACAGAGTGAGATTCTGTCTCAAAACAAACAAACAAACACCAGAAATAAACTCTGTCTTGTAAGCCTGACTTCCCATAATGTCTTAGAGTAAGTAAGGTATAAGCTGGCTACAGAATCCTTTGAGATACAAAAGGTGAACTTAAAGATATCTCACTACATTTGACTTTTATCCTCATATAAGACAACATGGTAATATGCAACCTGATTGAAAAATCTTTTCATTAAATTTGATTTGGGCTGGGCACGGTGGCTCAAGCCTGTAATCACAGCACTTTGGGAGGCCGAGGTGGGTGGATCACAAGGTCAACAGATCGAGACCATCCTGGTCAACATGGTGAAACCCCGTCTCTACTAAAAATACAAAAAATTATCTGGGCATGGTGGCGCATGCCTGTAATCCCAGCTACTCAGGAGGCTGAGGCAGGAGAATTGCCTGAACCCAGGAGACGGAGGTTGCAGTGAGCCGAGATCGCGCCATTGCACTCCAGCCTGGGTAACAAGAGCGAAACTCCGTCTCAAAAAAAAAAAAAAAAAAAAAATTTGGTTTGGTCCTGGCATAAGAATACACATAAGGAAACAAAAAATTGATAATCTTATAATAAACCTGCACATTTACAGTCAATTGATTTTATACAAGGCTAACAAAAGGACAAAATGGGAAAAGAACAGTCTTTTTGGCAAATGGTGCTGGGACAACTGAGTATTCCCATGCAGAAAAATAAATGAAGTTGGACTCTCACCAAATATCATGTTTAAAAACGGACTCAAAATAAATCAGTTAACTGTAACAGCTAAAACTATAAAACTGTCAGAATAAAACGTCAACATAAGTCTTTGTGACTGCATTAGGCAGTGTTCTCATAGCTATGACTTCCAAGAAAAAATGGATTCAGTGGACTTCAAAACTGAAAACTGCTGTGCCTCAGAAGACACTATCAACAAGTGAAAAGGCAAGCCACTGGTGGAAGAAAATATCTGAAAATCACGTATCTGATAAGGGACTTACATATATACGATATATAAAGAACAAGATAACCCAATTTAAAAAATGGGCAAAGATTTTGAATAGATATTTCTGCAAAGAAAATATAAAGATGGATTATAAGCACATTACTAGATGCTTAATGTAATTAGTCATCAGGAAACCACCATGTGGTATCACTTCACGCCATAGGATGAAATCTTTGTTCAATAAAAAAGAGAAAATGTGTGTCAGCAAAAATGGAAAGAAATTAAAGCTTTTATACAATGCTGCTGGGAGTGTAAAGTGGTAGATGTACTTTGAAAGACAAACTGGCAGCTCCTCAAAAGGTGATGCATGAAGTGACCATATGATCCAGAAATTCCAGCTGTAAGTATCCACTCAAGAAAAACGAAAAGATATGCAAGCACAAAAACGCATACATAAATGTTTACAGCAGCATTATTAATAAGAGTCAAAAAAGGGGAAAGAATCCAAAGGTCCATCACCTTTGCGTGGGAAAGAACCCAAAAGTCCATTCACCAGATGAATGGGCAAATAACATGTTTGATGTCTCCATACAATGGAATATTATTCAGCAATAAGAAGAAATTAAGTACAGATACTGAAAGAAGCAGGAGACAGCAAAATGCTTAGGCAGATATGGAAGGGTCTCTGGAGAACCTCCAACCGCCCCTCAAGTGTTTACACCAGAGATTTCCTGCAGACAAGAGAAGAACCTGCACAGGGTCTTGCCTGGACATGCCGGTAGCAGACTGGAGGTCCACATGCACTGGGGAAATGTGGTGGAGCCACCAGGAATTCACACCTTATGCAGGGGAGCCTGGCCTCTTCAGCTCATGTGTGGTGGTCCTGATATTCAATTGTGAGGTGAAAATCTGTTTGCAGGACCCCTTTCTTGGCTGAGAGCTTTCCTTTCACTTAATAAATTCCGTCCTCCCCATGCTTCAATGTGTCTGCATGCCTAATTTTTCCTGGTCATGAGACAAGAGCCCAGATTTAGCTGAACCAAAGGGCAAAAACCCTGCATCAATATCTGTTACAACATAGATGCAGCATGGAAACTTTTGCTAAATAAAACAAGTCAGTCACAGTAGACTAATTGATTTTTATTTCAGAGGCTTATAGGAGAATCTATATAAAGAAGGTGGTGGTTCCCTCGGGCTGAGGGAGGAAGGCTAGTGAAGATGGCTAAATGATGTGGGGTTTACTTTTAGGGTGATGAAAAGATTTACTTTTGATTTAGGTTCTAAAATGAATTGTAATTATTATTGCATAACTCTCTGAACATACTAAAAGTCAACAAATTGTGTATTTCAAATGAGTCAATTGCATGGCCTGTTATTTCTCAATAAATCTGTTACCTATCCCCCCCAAATTTATTTGGTACTAGTGATCTGGAAAACTCTGCCCCTACCACAAAAGCTCTCTCTTTCCCTCCCCCACAAAGAGGCTCCCTTATCTCTCACTTTACATACCGGCCCTAGCCCTCCCGCCACCCAGCTTCCCGCCCAGCAGTTCAAACTGACCAACGGTTGCCCACCACCTCGGTTTTTGGCTTCCCCACCCCCCAGCCCTTCAGCCCCCTATAAAACAACCCTGCCCCTCTGAGCAGCGCGGCCATTTTTCCTTTTCGTCCCAGCTGGCCCGCCCGGAGGCTCTTTTCTCTCAATAAAGCCTGAACTTAAGGAATTTCCTCTAACCTGTGGTCCAGTTTTTTCCGAACGAGCTCAGTATTCCCGCAGAGGGTAGGTCGGACAAATGGTGCCGGAAACCCGGGAGCTGGGGCCATTGGCCCGGCCATGGCCCCCCTCCCCGACCTACCCAACACTGGCCCTGCCACCTCCACGTTCCGATTAAGGTAAGCCAAGTTTTTCTTGCTTTGCCTTCCCCCGCTTCCCGTCTCCTCTTCCTATGGCATGGTACAGTTGCTCCCTCTCCGGCGTTCCGCATGGACTCCTTGCCTAGTCTCGGCCGAGCCAAGGTAGTCTTCCATTCCGGCTCCAGGAGCCTTCCGAGGGACAGCCGCCAGACGGGGGACGCCCCTCTGACCGCTTCCCTTTCCGTACTTAATTGTACTCCGGGGAATTTGCAACGAACGGGGACGCCTTTTCGTTGCATCTGCCCATCCGCGCCGGAGTCTGTAGCTGCGCCTGCCATGGGAAATTCGAAGTCCAAAATACCTCTGAGCACCCCCCTCGAATGCTTGCTGTGAAATTTCACCAAATTGGGATATTCCCAAACCCTCAGAAAGAAAAAGCTTATTTTCCTGTCCCAGGTGGCTTGGCCCCAATACAAACTCAGTAACCAGTCACATTGGCCCCCGACTGGCACTTTTGATTTCAACACCCTCCGAGATCTTGACGATTTTTGTCGCCGCGCAGGCAAGGACAATGAAATTCCTTACGTCCAGGCTTTTTGGGACCTCCGTACCCACCCCGACCTATGTTCTTCGTGCTCCACCTACCAAATCCTCTTATCTCGAACCCCCCCGTAAATCTTCCTCCACTACCTCTCCCCCTCCCTACTCCTCACCGGAGGATCTGCCTGAACATCTGTCCTCTCCTGCCAATCTCAGCAACCACTCGCCATCAACGGCACGCCCTTCCCCTACTCCCTCTGCACCTACCTCAGAGGCCATGCCTCGCTCTCCCTCTACTCCCTCCGAGCCCCCTCCCTCAGAGGCCGCACTTCCTCTTGCCTCTCTGGTGGCGGCCCACACCCGCCCCCACCAACCAACTATCCTGGCCCCACTCCGAGAAGTAGCAGGCACAGGTTTAATCAGGGTCCATGTTCCTTTCTCACTCCAAGACCTGTCCCAAATTGAGAAACGTTTAGGATCTTTCTCAGCCAACCCGTCCACCTATATTAAGGAATTCCAATACCTCACTCAAACATAAGAAGCCCTAGTCTGGTATACTCGACTAGATCCAGACTCCCAAAATGGGGCCACTGTATTAGCCTCCCATTTTATCTCCCAATCAGCACCCGACATAAGAAAGAAACTAAAGAAAGCAGAAGAGGGGCCAGAGACTCCCATCCAAGACCTGGTAAAAATGGCCTTTAAAGTATTCAATGCCAGGGAAGATGCGGCTGAGGCTGCCCGCCAAACTCGCATGAAGCAGAAGGCTGCCCTCCAGACCCAAGCCCTAGTGGCGGCTCTAAGGCCGGCAGGGAACCAGAAGCCCAAGGCCGAAACCCATGTCCCTCCGGGGGCATGTTTCAAATGTGGAAAGGAAGGACACTCGTCCCGAGCCTGTCCACAACCACGGCCACCAACTAAGCCTTGCCCTATCTGTCAGCTCCCGGGACACTGGAAGTCAGACTGCCCCAGCTTCCCCAGGGTGCCGGTTCCTCAAAACAGACACACTGGCGTTACGCAGCCGGCGGTCACCCTCGGTAGGGAGGAGCCTGCTTGCCAGGAGCTGACCTCCGAGGGAACTCCATTCCCCAGTCTATTAGGGCTGCTAGATGACTAGCGGGGCCCTGGCTTTCCGACTCCGGTTACCCTCGCCTAGCCTAGGGTCACAAGACATGGGGGCTACCTACTCCACACTTCCTTCCTATTCTGGTCATCTCACTCCTTCCCAGGTCTCGGTCATGGGAATCGACGGGACCCCGAGTATCCCCTACCAAACCCCACCACTCATGTGCTCATATAACTCCACTCCATTCACCCCCTCCTTTTTAGTAATCCCCACCTGCCCAGTTCCCCTTCTGGGGCGAGACATCCTTTCAAAGCTGAAGTCCGTCATAACCTTCCCCACCACCAGCCCACACAGCCTTTTTCTCCTAGCCCTCAATACTATGCCTCAGAACTCCAGGCCCTCCAGTCTACCCCCGGGGTACGGTTCAAGGATGACTGGGCCTTCAAGCATAACCTCCTCATCCTCCCTGAAAAGTAAAGGTACCAGATAATCCAAGACACCCATAATTCACTCCACATTGGGCCTAAAGCCTTATACCGGTTCCTCAATCCACTTTTCCACCCCCACCACCTCCTCAGTACCATACAGGAAGTCCAGTCCTCCTGTACTGTCTGCGCGAAAACTAATTCCCAGGGTTCCTGTCATCCCCGGCGCCAGCTTCATCAGCTATGCGGGTTCCTACCAGGCGAAGACTGGCAAATTGATTTCACCCATATGCCAAAGCACAAACAGTACTAGTATCTGCTAACCATTGTTGACACTTTTTCAGGCTGGATTGAAGCTTACCCCACAGCCTCTGAGTCTGCCGGGACAGTAGCCACTCATCTCATTCAAGACATCATCCCACGCTTTGGACTCCCGGCTACCATACAGTCAGACAACAGCCCAGCCTTTATCTCCAAAGTCACTAATGCCGTTTCTACCTCTCTAGGAATTCAGTGGAAGCTACACGCCGCCTACCATCCTCAGTCCTCTGGTAAGGTGGAACGGGCCAATGGCCTAATAAAGGAGCATCTGACCAAGCTCATGCTTGAGCTCTGCCAATCCTGGGTAACCTTACTTCCTATCACCCTCACCAGGGTAAGAGCAGGCCCCCGGGGCCCATCACAGCTTAGCCCATTTGAGCTGCTGTATGGTTGCCCCTTCCTACTTTCAACTCCCCCACCGCCCAAGACCACTCCTCTAGACAGCTACCTCCCCTACTTTACTCTCCTTGGCAGCCTTCTCCGAGAACATGCCAACGCTTCTCTTCCCCAACCCACCCAGCCATCTGAAAATACACAGAAAGTCTCCCCCAGGGACTCAGTTCTTATCAGGTCCCTCTCCCCAAAGCCCCTCGCCCCGAAGTGGGAAGGACCATACACAGTCCTCCTTACCACTCCATCAGCTATAAGAATTGCTGAAATCCCACCTTGGGTTCACCTCTCTCGGGTAAAAAAGGCCCCTCATGGACTCTCCTTATGCTGGAAGGCTGTTCCTACTGGCCCTTTATCTGTCAAACTTACCAGGGCCTAGCAGCCACACCCCCTACAGATGGAGATTCTTCCTAACTGAAAACTATACCAAAACCACCTTCATCTGTAATACCCCCCATACAGCCACAACCACCTTCTTGCAACTTCCGACTGCCCCGCAGCCGGATGCCAAAGTGCCATATAGCTGAACTTCACCAAATTCCACAACGTCCATACTACTATACCTGTCATGTGCTTCAACCATGACCAACCATCAGGAGCATGCAATAATACTCCTTGGCGCTCCTGCATGGGATGTACTTGGATGGGCTGTCGAATACATATAGCTATCGAGTCCACAGTACCTGCCCGATCTCAGCTCAAAATCATCCCAGATGTAGATGGAGAAGGAAACACCATTATCGGTTCTACACGATATTCCCTTCTCATACCTGACCCCTGGGACAACCGCTGGAAAAGCCCCCAGAAAGCTGCCGTGTATGACCACATAGATACCAAATATCCCTCTTCCCACCTGTACATCTGGCGGGCATACGTACATACAGTCCACCAAGTCCACTCTGACATTAGCCTACAAGAAAAATCTCTGAATGACCAATTGCAACCACATTCGCCTCCGTTTTCCTGGTTAACCTTTCTCCAAGAAGGAATCAAGTTAGCTAACCTCTCAGGATTAACTGACCTAACCTCATGCCTCATGTGTGCCTTCTTAGGACAGACTCCCTTCGTTGCAGTCCCTTACCCCATCCCTCTCAACCTTTCAGCCTCAACTTCTTCCTTCTCCCCCGTCAGGGAAGTCGATCTCTACACTCCACCTGATTTTGAACAGCTACCTGTGTGCTATTCCCTAGGCCGAAACTTCCCTAGCTGTAACAGAACTATACAGGTAACCACTAATGTAACAGCCCCACGAGGAACGTTTTTCGGGTGTAACAAGACCTTAACAAAAACTCTCTACATTGGCCTTTCCTCATCTCTTTTATGCCTCCCGGTAACCCTAGTCCCTCGACTCAGTATATATTCCCCAGCCGAATTCCAGATGCTGCAAGCTCCCCATCGCCGCACCCGACGAGCTGCCTTCCTACCCATTGCCGTTGGAGTCTCCCTTGCTGGTTCAGCACTTGCAGCAGGATTAGGAGGAGGGGCACTAGTCCACTCTCACCTGGCCATAGCCCGACTGACCTCAAAACTCCAAGCGGCTATTGATGACTCTACTGAGTCTTTAGCATCACTCCAACGACAGATCACCTCAGTTGCCCAAGTTGCCTTGCAGAACCGAAGAGCCCTGGACCTGCTCACTGCTGAATGAGGAGGGACCTGTATCTTCCTACAGGAAGAGTGCTGTTACTACATCAATGAATCCGGCCTAGTAGAAACCTGAATCGAGAGCCTCCAGAAACTCAAAACTAGCCTGCAGAGTCAGAAGTTCTCGGCTGAAGCCACAGTGTGGTGGTCTTCCTCTATGTATACCCTCTTGTCCCCGTTGCTTGGGCCCCTAGCAGCCGTTTGCCTAATCTTACTTATTGCTCCTTGCTTTCTACAGTTCCTACAGCGGCGCTTTCAAGAACTGACTCGAGTCACCATCCACCAGATGCTGCTCCAACCCCACCCTGAACGAGTGCAAGGAACAGACCTCTCCCCGAACACCCAGGCTCCTTAGGAAAAGAAACCTCTTCAGAACCCCCCGTCGACCCCTGTCAGCAGGAAGTAGCCAGAGAGACAACCGACGCCCCTGACCCCCTCTTTTTCTTTTAAGGAGTCGGGAATGTTTGGAAAACTCTGCCCCTACCGCAAAACCTCTCTCTCTCCCCCACAAAGAGGCTCCCTTATCTCTCACTTTACATACCGGCCGTAGCCCTCCCGCCCAGCAGTTCAAACTGACCAACAGTTGCCCACCACCTCGGCTTTTGGCTTCCCTACCCCCCAGCCCTTCAGCCCCCTATAAAACAACCCTGCCCCTCTGAGCGGCGCGGCCATTTTTCCTTTTCGTCCCAGCTGGCCCGCCCGGAGGCTCTTTTCTCTCAATAAAGCCTGAACTTAAGGAATTTCCTCTAACCTGCAGTCCGGTTTTTTCCGAACGAACTCAGTATTCCCACAGAGGGTAGGTCGGACATGTACTGCTTGGTTTCAGATCACTGGTCAAGGCTCAAGACATAAGAGAATACGCAGCATGTCCTTTTAATATAAAAAATTATGTATTTTAAAAACTGTCCTTTTCATTAATATCAAGTCTGTAATAAAATTAAATGAAAATTCAAAAAAATCTTTTACTGCTTAAAGCACTGAGAGATTTATAACAAGGAATAAGACCTTGTTTTCTTTTGCCGCAATTTCTATCTAAAGCGTCTGGGGAATCATACCCTTCAAACTGTAAAATCTCATCAGATGGGTTTTATTAACTCTTATAACGTGGTTTATTTTCTAACCTGATTCTGGTACAGCATCACAGACAGCAGAAGCTGAAGGAAATAAAAATATTTTACCCCAAAATAGATTTTTTTGACATATTTTGAAATGGCTGCCGCAGGGCCAGGACCAAGAAATTGAAATGGCCCCATGAAGCTGTCTTCTGTGGGGAAAACGGCATCTGTGAAAAGTCTTCATTAATGTAGCCCAATCTCTCCCGCTCTGGATCTTCCCAGATCTACGGAAGATTAACTAAGGGCCTAATGCATTTCAAGTCTGAAAAGATCCGTTTACCCTGTTTTCTCTGAAGACTGCCAGCTATGAGGGTTTATCTACATAATAAAAACCTTGGCCTCCATAACTACCTTATCTTAAGGCTTTCCTTTCTACTGTTTTCAAGTTTTAGACAACAACTTAACTTTCTTTACCAATAGTCACCTAAAAAATCTCTAAAACCCACCTATGGCTTGTTAGCCACTTCTTTTTGATGTCCCACTTTCAAGCTGAACCAAATATGCCTTCCTCATATTGATTTATTTTTCCCTACAATTAATTTCTGTCTGCTGGAAACGTACAGAGTCAAACTGTAAGGTGACTGTCTCATAAAATATCCTCAGGATCTCTCGAGATTGTGTAACCTAGAGCCACAGTCACCAGATTGGCTCAGAATAAACCTCCTTAAACATATTTTGGCAGAATTTGGATTTTTAAAATTATTAGTATTTCCCCAAATTATGTGATTTTTAATCCCAAACTGATTTAAAATTACCTTATGCTGAAATCTAAGTGATTCTATTATAAAGATACATGCATGTGTATTTCACTGCAGCACTATTCATAACAGCGAAGACACGGAATCAACCCCGATGTCCATCAGTGATAGGTGCGATAAAGAAAATGTGGGATCCATACACCATGGAATACTGTGGAACCATAAACATGAATGAGATCATGCTGTTTGCAGGGACAGGGATGAAATCAAAGCTGCTATCCTCAGCAAACTAATGCAGGAACAAAAAAACAAACACTGCATGTTCTCACTTATAAGGGAGCTGAATGATGAGAACACATGGACTCGGGGAGGGGAAGAAAAAATACGAGGGGCCGTTGGGGTTGGGAGGGAGAGGATCAAGATCAATAGCTAATGCATGTGTGGCTTTGTATCTAGGTGATGGATTGAGAGGTGCAGCAAACCCTCATGGCACACATTTACCTATGTAACAAACCTGCACATCTTGCACATGTAACTTAGACCTTAAGATAAAATAAATGTTTTTTTTAAAAATTTACCTTATGTTTTAGCTTATTAAGCAGAATATCCATTTTCAATTGATCTGTTTTTGAGTCTCCATGGAAACTTAACTCTTCGTTTCCAAATACATTTAACATATTTATTGTCATCTCTAGGAGTTTCTTATATCTGCAGAAATGTACAGAATTAGCAAGTCAAGTATTTTAAGAGTAAATATGTAATAATAGTTTAAACAGATATTACGGCATATCAAAGAAACACATCTATAAACTATGCTCCTCTCAGTTTCAACTGAGCATAGTTTGAAAGCATTCTATATGAAATTATAATCTTAGATTAATAATATGAAGAACAATTTTATGGCATATAAGGCAGGCAAAGTGCTAATATAACCACATAGTTGTTTTTATTTTATTTTTTTTGAGATGGAATTTCACTCTTGTTGCCAGGCTGTAGTGCAATGGTGCGATCTTGGCTCACTGCCACCTGTGCTTCCTGGGTTCAAGTGATTCTCCTACCTCCGCCTCCCAAGTAGCTGGGATTACAGGCATCCACCACCACACCAAGCTAATTTTGCAATTTTAAGTAGAGACGGGGTTTCATCATGTTGGTCAGACTGGTCTTGAACTCCTGACCTCAAATGATCCATCTGCCTTAGCCTCCCAAAGTGCAGGGATTACAGGCATGAGCCATCATGCCTTGGCCTAACCATACAGTTTTTATAAACTGTTCATATTAATTTTGGTATGCTAACATGAAATAACCCATTACTAAATATAAACCATACCTAAGAGATGAGTAACCAATATAAAAAAGTAAAACACGTATATGTTTCAAAAAGACACAAAAATACATTTTGATGCCTGTTGACCACAGTCTATAAAAAGAAAAAAAAGTACACACGAAAAGCATCAAGGTGATCATCGAATCCAGTTGTAGGAAATGTAAGAAAACATCTTTACTATCTGAGCCGATGAGAAAAAGAAAACCGGCAGTTTTAGAAAAATTATGATTTAAAGACTTTGAAGAAGAGAACTAGAGATCTTTGCTGACAGGTCGTCAGTGAAATGAAAGGGATACAAACCATGCAGAGAAAGGCAGTGACAGGAAAACATGGATCAGAATCAGAAAACCAACACAGGTGCTCAGTAGGTAAATGGAAAAGTAGCTGTGTTCAGGACTTCAAGGACACATTCTGTTTTGTTTTTCTAATCTATGATCAAACATGAATGGCCATTTTACTCCTTTTAAGTTATAGATACATTTACATACATATAATTTATTTCTGTGAAACAGAAGTTCAATAACATATATGCTTCATGTATACAATGGAGGTACTCATGTAAAATGAGTAAATTTCTATCATATTTTATATCTAAAAGAAAAAAAGCAGAAATGAAATATGAGCTACATATCAAGATGAATTCTGATGCTAAAGAATGTCACCAACACATGGACACAGAAAGGGGAGCACCACACACTGGGGTCTGTTTGTGGGGGACTAGGGGATGGACAGTGGGGAATGGGGAGGTTGGGGAGGGATAACATGGGGAGAAATGCCGGATATAGGTGACGGGGGAACGGAGGCAGCAACCACCTTGCCACGTATGTACCTATGCCACCATCATACACGACTTGCGCATGTAGTCCAGAACCTGAGTAGAAAGAAAAGAATGCCATGAACAGGTCTTCTTTAAAGAAGAGGAATGCAGCAGAGAAGGACACTACAAAAGGAGGAAAAGATGACCAAAGACAGCAGAAATATCTTCAGAAATAAAAATTCGTACTGGATAATGAAGAGTGCAGCTGCCATCATGTGTCCAAGGCTTTGTGGTTATTGTTTTCAAAATCATTAAAGAATAAGTGTAATATTTTGACAGAAAATTTAAGACTGTGTTGTCAGTTTCTTTTTTTCACATATTTTTAATATAATGTTTTTCATCCCAACCTTGCTCCAGCAGCTCAGCTGGCTCCCTCCCCCATGACGCACATACCTATAATGTTGTGAGCTTCTAAAATAAATTTTAAAATAGAATTTAATTATGAAAATACAGACATAAAATGCATTTGTATCTATGTTTTAGTCAAGTAAAATTTTAGTTAAATCAATTAATAAATGGTTAAAATGTTCCACAATAGGAAAAGCATACCCAGTTCTCTCTTCTTCTAATTCATTATTTTTCTTTGTTGTTTGATTCACATTATACTCCAGTGATGATATTAACTCAAAAACTTTTAATTCTTCATTTAGTCTTTCAGGCTTAAAAAAAAAAGGTGTTTAAAATTATTTTTGTAAACTCTAGAGACACTCTTCTATCTCAAAAATACTGTTTCTCACAAGTTGATGAGTAATATGTAATTAGGCAGGTGGATAAAGTGCATTTTATAAACCTGATGCAAATAAGGGCAGATTTCAATAACAGTCACTCTTCTTAAAACAGCTAAAAACGACTAATACTTTCATCAGGATCTTTTCTGAAATTTAAAGTGCCAAAAATGTTAAAAAATAAAGATTTTACACATAAAATACTAAGGGTTAGTAAAAAAAAATTAAAAGTAACTATATTTACATTTTAGTTGTTAAAGATGCTCTAGAAACATTGTCATTAATAGTTTACGATAGTCCAGTTTTGTTAAACTACATCTTACTAAGATTATTTATAGAAAACTCTTATCTACTTCCCATTATCTTTTTGATCCTCATCTGTCTTCAGGCTGAGCTAACTCATTCTCTGTAAGTATTTACCCATGGGTTTCAGTTTTTCCTTCTCTTAACCATTTCTATTTAAATAAGGTTTATTTTTTTCTATAATAAACAAAAACCTAACTTTTGTCTACTTTTCGTGGTTTTCTATTACCGTTTCTCCCCTTCCACTGGACTCTTTGACACATGATCTCATCCAGAGATCTATTTCTCCTCATTTATTGTGGTTTTTTATACTGAAATCTGATTTGTAATAATTCCAATGAAGAAGTCCCAGGGTCACGAAAGTCTTTATCCTGCTTTCCTCAGCAGCAACTGCGAGCAGTGACCAAATGCACCCTCTGCTCCTCTGACCCCACTTCATTTCTAAATGCAGCAACTTCTCATGTTTACTGGAATCCCTTTGTATTCCATTTTAAAATTCTCTCGGGACTCCTAAAATCTCAAAACTTTGACCCAGATTCCCTAATCTACATTTCCAGCTCTGACCTTTTCAGTGAGGTCTCTTCATTCTAGTACACATATTACAGACAATATTCTCAACCACACACTCTTACATTGCTAGTTGGTGCAGATTACTTTTGTAGATAATGAATCTTGTCTATTTTATGTTGATTCTTATTGATGTTATTTTGAGCATAGTGTTGTTTTTTTTTTTTTAATCTCGGAGAGGGACAGTCTCACTCTTGGTATATTGACCAGTATACTTTGTCCTTTTTCCTTCTTTTTTGGACTAGTATACTTTGCTCTTTTCTTCTTTCTTTTTTTCTTTATTTTTGAGATGGAGTCACACTCAGTCATCTAGGCTAGAGTGCAGTAGCACCATCTCGGCTCACTGCAACTTCCACCTCCTGGGTTCAAGTGATTCTCCTGCCTCAGCCTCCCAAGTAGCTGGGACTACAGGTGCGTACCACCATGCCTAGCTAAATTTTGTATTTTTAGTAGAGACAGGGTTTCACCATATTGGCCAGGCTGTTCTTGAACTCCTAACCTCAGGTAACTCACCCACCTCAGCCTTCCAAAGTGTTGGGATTACAGGCATGAGCCACTGTGCCCAGCCCTTTTTCTATTTTTTTTTTTTTTTTTTGAGATGGAGTTTTACTCTTGTTACCCAGGCTGGAGTGCAATGGCGCAATCTCGACTCACTGTAACCTCCACCTCCTAGGTTCAGGCAATTCTCCAGCCTCCTGAGTAGCTGGGATTACAGGCACGTGCCACCACACCCAGCTAATTTTTTGTATTTTTAGTAGAGACGGGGTTTCACCATGTTGACCAGGATGCTCTCTATCTCTGGACCTCGTGATCCACCCGCATCGGCCTCCCAAAGTGCTGGGATTACAGGCTTGAGCCACCGCACCTGGCCCCCTTTTTCTCTTTTATACTAAAAACTTTTTCATGAAAATTAGATTATCAATTATTTGCCCTTGTTTTCTTTGAAGAATTCCCTTTTCCATAAATACACGGCATGATGAATCTCTTCTATGGTTTCTTTCAGGGGGACACTCAACTATATTATTGAAAAGCTCCAGTCAAGTAGAGGTCTTCCTTCTTCCCAATTGAGATTTTTTAAACTCAAAATGGTGTCCACCAAATGTCTTAAGGTAGCTTCTTGCTTAAAAATTCATGCAATAAGAACCTTCTGAAGAAGTTAGAGGCTATTGATTGATAGGGTTTAAAGCCTTCCCTTATTACATGTTTTATTTCCAAGAAAGACATCAAAGTGGCTAATAATTCTATGCCTGATGTCTAACTCACTTCTATGAAAATCTATATACAAAACATTCCATTTATGACACAGAGTCTCACTCTGTTACCCTGGCTGGAGTGCAGTGGCTTGATCACTGCTCACTGCAGCCTCGATATCCTGAGCTCAAGTGACCCTCCTACCACAGGCTCCCAGTGTAGCTGGGACTGCAGGTATACACCACCATGCCTCAGCTGTTAGTTTTTTTTTTTTTTTTTGTAGAGACAGGGTCTCACTTATATTGTTCTGGCTGGTCTCAAATTCCTGGGCTCAAACGCTGCTGCTGCTTCAGCATCCCAAAGTGCTAGGGTTACTGGCATGAGCCACCCAATCAGGTGTTTCATGGTTTGAAAGGCAGTATCTACACTGAAGCCAGAAGACCTGTGTCTAAATCCCAGTTCTACCAGATACAGGCTGTTTGACCTTGAAATGGAGAAAATAATATCATCTACGTCGCTGCGATGTTGGGAAGATGAAACCAGGGACCAACATGAAGCATTTAGAAGAGTACTCGGTGCATATTGAGCTACAGATAAAATCTGCTATTAGCATAATCATTTTTACTGTTTTTTGTATCTTTAAAGCTATTTGTGTTAGGCAGGTGGCATTAAAATGGAAGTGGCCTCCTGTAGCTGCACTGAATCATTCTTCACACAACTGAAAGCGGCAGCAAATGGGGACTGTATAATTTATGGGTCACTTTTCTCTCTATGACTCAGTGGGCAACAACCACATAGGTACTGCAATGTCAATAGCACCTCCTGGATTGAGTAGTACGTAATCAGCATGACCAGCGAAGACAGGCTGAAGCCACTGGCTGAAAACCTTGAACTCTGTTGCTAAATCAAGTCTCCTCCATCAGTTCCCCTCCAGCAGCTGTGGCTGTTGTGCTGCTTTCATGAGCACTCTGCTGAGCACTCGGATGAAGAGGCTGTGGGACCATTCAGCAGACAGACTGCCAGAACTGTTCGGCTGACAAACTGGCAGCCATCCAGAAATACAGTTCTGGCTACACAGTGAAGGAAGGCAAATTGAGATTCGTTTTTCATACTGAGAAAAACATGAGCATTTGATTGAACAATTCTCCTCTATTAGGCTAACTGGTTTCAATTTTATGTTGCTAAAAATACACTTAGAATAAAAGATTTACTGGTCAATGTCTCAAAGAAGAAATAACTGGTATGGTAAAAAGTATTTGGTTCTATGCTAAAAGCTGCCAAGCTAAAACATTTTCAATTTATACAACAATAGGTGACATGCATGTCATATTCTTTTCCCTTTAAGCAAATTTATAGTAAGACAAAATTATATTCCATAAAAAATAAAAGCCATATAAAATTAGGGCCTAAGTTGTTCTGTAGACTGGACTACCAAGTGCTGAGATGTAAGGTCAATGAGAACAGTCAGAGAAAGCTTCACAAAGGGGACATGATCTGCCAGGTCCGAATGAATGAGACTAGAGGAGCAGAAACTGAGACGGCAGGAAGGACAGTACGAGTCAAACTGGTGCTGAGATCTACCCAATTAACTCTGAGAATAAAGTCCAATGGCAGGGAAAAAAACATATATCCATATAATAAACTGTAAATGAATGTCCACAGCAGCTGTTTCTATAATAGCCAAAAAGTGAAAACAAACTAAAGGTCCATCATCTGATGAATAAATGGAAAACTGGTATAGCCATGAAATAGACTATTGTTTGACAGTAAGAAGAAATAAACTACGGATATGTGCTACAACATGGATAAAATTCTGAGAACATTATGCTAAGGAAAAAAAGCCAGTCAGAAAGGACTTCATATTGTATGATTCTTTGTATATAAAATATGCAGAACATGCAAATCTATGGAGACAAAAGTAGATGGTGGTTGCCTACAACTGGGGCAGGTAGAGAGACACGGAGAGGAGTTGCAGTCATGGCTGTGAGATATACGGTTGCTTTTCAGAGTGGTAAAAATGTTCTAGCATTGACTGTGGTGATGGTTACACAATGCCCGTGTCTTATCCAAATTAATGTAACAAAGTGATGTACCTTCTAGTGAAGACTCTGACATAGGTAATTTTTTAAGCTTCTCAGCCAGTTCTTCTAAAAGTTGTCTCATAATCATCTGATAAAATAATTTTGTTACTAATTTTATAAATAGCCTTAGTATTAAATTGTTAATAATATTTACCTCTAACATAAATAGTTTGAAAATTGTTACCAGACACATAGACTCCCTTCCTTTCCTCGTATGCGCACATTCTTGTTTGTTACTGAGTTCACTGAGGGACACAGAACCGGTATTCTACCTACATGACAGATTGATTCAGCCCACTATTCATCTCAGACCCTTAATTCAACCTGCGTGTCTCACATACTCAGTTGCCTGTTCAAATCCTTCCAACAGATGCCTACCTCGAAATAACAGTACAATTCCAATGGTCTTCAAGACCCTACGTAACATGGCCTCTCCATCCCTCCCTGACCTCAGCTCCTACAATTCTGCCCCATACTCACTTCGTTCCCACTCTGCATCAACTCTGCCACCTCTCATCAATCTAAAAATGAGGATCCGATGTCAAACTTGTAAATCACAGAAAGCTACAAGTATCTTTGTACTGAACAAAATTATATACAAATGATAGTCACTGACAATTAAAATGTAAATTATGAGCTAATTATTAATAAAATATTCAAAGTAAATTATAAATACCTACCAGGGGAACATTAAATCAAATATGTTTTTCTGAAATTTACCACATTTATTCCAACTTGTGATTTTATAACAAGCAGATGTCTTTAAAATATTAAGTGCTCAGAAAATGACGTCATATGAGTGACATATTTTCAGACTTAAGTCACACTGACATGAATGAAAACAAAGTTATACCAACTAAAATACATAAAAGAGTTACTGAGGGAAAAGCATCACAAGACGCAGCAACACACTTCAATTCATCGAGAAATTTAGAATTAAGTGTCAAAGCAACTCACTTCATTTCAAAATACTCATTTCAGGTACAAGCATTTCCATTTATTTGCTTCATTATGGTCTTAAAATGTGCCAACATAAAGACATTAAATTTATTATCAGCAGTTAAGACTACATACCTTATCAACATTACTCTGTATCTACTAAGATTTTATAGGTGACATAACGTTTTGTTTTGTTTTGCTTTTTTTACAAAATCTCACTTTGTCACCAGGTTGGGGTGCAGAGGCACGATCTTGGCTCACTGCAACCTCTGCCTCCTGGAGTCGAGCAATTCTCTTGCCTCAGCCTCCCAAGTAGCTGGAACTATAAGTGTCCACCACCCGCCTCGACCACCAAAAGTGCTGGGATTCTAGGCATGAGCCACAGCACCAGGCTGACATAATGTCTTTACTCAAAGTAAAGCATCTGTGAGTGCTACCTTTTATTTCTTGAAAATAAGGTATGTTTCCAAGCTGATACAATAAAAACATTGTTTTTTGATTTTTTTACTGAAACAGCTTTGCATATATATGATTTACATACTATAAAATTTATGTTTTCACATATAGTTGAAGATTTTTAACACATTTATTCCACAACATGGAATATTTAACTCTCAGTAGTTAATGATATTTAAATATAATTACACGTTTAACTCTAACATACATGTTTAACTCTAACACATGCACTTGAACAAATTCACTGACTTGTAGCCATCTCTACAATCCAACTTTTGAACATTTTCATCACTCCAGGACAATCCCTCATGCCCATTAGAGGTCACTACCCATTTCCAGCTCCAGCCCTACAAAAACATTAATCTACTTTCTGTCCCTATACATGTATTTTCTAGATGTTTCATGTAAATAGAATTATGCAGTATGATAAGTACATTTTTATCTATTTATTTTTATATTGAACTAGGTTCAACATATAGCCAGAATGAAATGTTTAAATTTTTTTTCCAGAGGACTAAAAATATTTATCTTTCTTCATACTTACTTTTTCTGCTTCTTCTTTTTCATACTGAAAGTTTTTCTTTTAAATAATTACGTTCATTCATTAATTCCTTATTTTTCTCTTCTAGAAAAGCTTCCTGTCCACTCTCAAGACAGTCTCTTTCGACATTAATTACTATCTCTTTATTATTGCCTTCCTTACGAGCAACCTCTAGATGTTGTATAAGCAAGAGATTTTTGCGTTCTAGTTGACATATTCTCTCCTCACAGTTCTGCTTTACCATGAATTGCTTCTTTTTAGCTTCCTCATTTAGACGTATCTGTTTCATTTCCTTTATTCGACGCTGTGCTTGCCTTCGGTCCATCTCTACACTTTCTAAAGCCGATGTCTAGTTGAGAAATATTAGAACGTATTACTTCTTGCACATGAACATCTTTTGCTCTTTGTAAAGTGAGCTCTAGGTCCTTCCTCTGCACACTTTCTTTGTGCACATTTACAGCAGCAGCCAGTCTAGAATAGAGGAATTCCATTTCAGCTTCCAGTCTTTTCTTGCTGTGTTTTTCCTTCTTCAATTTTGAATTCAGCCTTGTATTCTCAGCTTTGAGATCATCAAGCTGTTGACAATACTGCGACATTGTTTTTGCTATCATTTCCTCCTTGAGTCCTATACTCTTTTGAAAGTTAGTATTTGTTTCTCTAATTCTTCTGATTTTCCGAATATATTCCTTTTCCCTTTTGAGATTGGCATTTTTTATTGCGCATACTTTTCGTCTCAGTTTGGCACTATTTTTCTTCAACACGCCGTTTTCAGACTTCACATCCTTCTTTTTTCCATAACTTTGACAATCCTAAATAAAACAAAAGAAATGTTTAGCTAGCACTCAACAAAGTAACATATCATGATTACCTCTGAAGTGAACGAACGACCTGTACATTCATGAAATTAAAAGTTGCTATAAGTGGATATCCAGCTGGAGAAAAACTTGAAGCAAAACCTCGAACCTTAGCATAAATTTCAAAAAGTTCAAAACTTCATTTGAAGTCAAAGAATCCATAACAGTAAAAAACTACACACACACTTGAGAATTCTCAAGAATATCAGAAATGGAAAAGCCTTTCTCTGAATTACAAGAAACTCAAAGCATAAAATAGAATATTAACACATGTGACTAAGTTAAAATATTGAAATAAGAAAATTGCATTTATACTGTGATATCCAACCCAGACATCACCCTACAGTAAGAGATTTACCTCCACGTGTATTTGGACAAATAAAATTTCTCAAAGTGTTTAAAGTTCTGCTTTTTGATAATATTCTATTGTGATTTCACTCAACCCTTTTTAGTCAGTTATAAGAATTATATTCACTAAATCACATCTCTAGACATTGTACTGAGCACTTCCACATGCTTGTAGTGATGAACTGATTTACTTATCACAATTCTTAAAGAGAGGTTACAAGACACAAGCAAACTGCAGGATTTTCCCCGAGGTTTTTGACTCGATTTCTAGTTCTCCACCAGATCACAGTTACTTCTGTGGTGTCAATGTATCAGCACAAAAGCAGAGAAACAAAAAGACACAGACATCAAATGTGTCTTCTGACTTTATCACCAGGATGCTACATGAAGTAGCCGGATTGAGAAGATGTGAACTTGTGGGGCTTCAGAAACAGAAAAGAAGCTTTCCCTTTTCTGCACGAAGCTATTTTATTTCCCACTGCCTTTTATCTTCTTTTTTAAATTTGGATCCCACGGTATCAAAAAAGTGAAGGTGCTCACTGAAATAGAAGAACCAAGTTTGCCCCAACACAATGAGAAGAGTGAAATTGCTGAGTTGCTAGTGCTGAATCCTGGAAGATGAGATGTTCCCCAAATGTACATTCAACGACCACACAAGTTTATAGCTGGAAGATACACGGTATAGCTATCTACTCCAGCCTGATTACCTACTTCATAATGGAAGTGAAACCAAGGAATATTAGATAATTCACCAGAGCTCCTAAGGTCGCATTACCTAGCATTTCATGGTACCAAAAGGGAAGATGATTTTGCATGTTGCTGGATTACATAAATTTCCAGGAAAATATATCAAATTAGTTAGATAAATTAAAAGTGTGACTTTGGCCAAGCATTTAATGCCTTGGAAGATGGTGGGAGGCCTCATTTGCTTTTACTTTGAAAGAAGAAAATATCTATATTTTTGTCTATCTTTAGACACAATGTACAGAACTCAGCTTTGTAGTATAGACTCAAATTCTAAATTTTTGGCTGAGGAATTATGCTACTTATATGATAAATTCATACTTGTCAAACTTTACCATATTTTATTAAACATAATACAAAAGTCTGATTCAATAGAAACACTGGGGAGTGGTAATTTTTTTAAATATACAAAAGTCTATGTATTTGTTTCCGAAAATATTTCAAATGGCCATGATGGAATTATATGCTCTAACAGTTTGAGTGAAACAGATACATTTGCATGCATGAAAGCACATTCAACAGACTTCGTTGGCTGGGAATATTGTTTGCAACTCTCAAGGCTAGGTACATTTTCAGGTCTCTTCTCAGTCCTTGTTTCCCTCCCATTGTATTACCATTTTATTATTTAAATAAATCTCATTCATCTTTAAATCAGTACAGAAAAAAGAATCTAGAGCTTGCTTCTTTAGCAACTTCTTTTATACTTATCTGGTTCAGAAGGTCACATGGCTAAATTATTTTCCCAGCCCATGTGCCACTGGGAAGACTGACAGTGAGACTTAGGTTGACCAACGAACAAAGATTATGACAATGTTTTTCAGAACTGTCATTTAGATAGCAGTAGAATCTACTTTGACACATAATTACACATTTGGATAACGCCACTGTAACTAAAAACAAGATTTTCTTCAATACAAAACCAGAATGAATCAGACGGTTCATAAAAAGAGAAGCAGCAAGTGAACCTCCTTCTTTTCACAGTTAAACTTTCTTTCTTCAAAGCCAGGAACTCTATTTGTAACATTCCCACCTCATTCTTAGGCCTTTGCATCGCTGTGAGAAACAGGCTACATGTCTAGTTTGTTATAATTTTTACAGTCTGATTTATTTTCCTTTGAATACAGCTTAGAAGATGACTGGCAAGCTAGATATGCTTTTGATACGTGGTGAAGAATAACTCACATTTTCTAATTCAGGTTTCATGCTTTTTTTTTTTTTTTTTTTTTTTGAGACAGAGTTTCACTCTTGTGACCCAGGCTGGAGTGCAATGGCACAGTCTCGGCTCACCGCAACCTCCGCCTTCTGGGTTCAGGCAATTCTTCTGCCTCAGCCTCCCGAGTAGCTGGGATTACAGGCACGCACCAACATGCCCAGCTAATTTTTTGTATCTTTAGTAGAGACAGGGTCTCACCATGTTGACCAAGATGGTCTCGATCTCTTGACCTCATGATCCACCCACCTTGGCCTCCCAAAGTGCTGGGTTTCATGCTTTTATAGCTATTAGCAGTGGGACTGTCATATGTGGGTCCCTGAAACACGCTTGCTAGTCACCTTCTAAGCTTTAGAAGAGCTTCTAAGTTCCATATGGCTTGTGGAACAAGTGCTGTATTGGTTTTCCATTTTTGTAAGTGTCTCTAACAGCAGAAATACTGGGGCTTTCTATCTGTATCATATGCTCCATTACTCTGGAGTGAGCAAACCACAAATCAAAAAACACTTTTTGGATCTCTAGACTGAGGCCAATGTCTAATGTCTGATTTTCTATTAGTGGCATTTTGGTTTATATTTTTTGTTATTTGCATATCAAACTCTTGATCTTTCATTTCAACCATAACCAGTGTGTTCTTTAATTTTTCAATTTCTGTATCATTACAACATTCTCTTCATCTCTGTGAAAAACAGGCTACATGTCTGGGTTGTTATGATTTTTACAGTCTGACTTATTTTCATTTGACTAAAGCTTAGAAGATGACGGGCACGTGTGTGTGAGGGACCCAGGGTATAAATGCAGTGCAAAGACATATTTGAGACGGCTCCTTCTGTTCAGGCAACGCCTGGAATACTACAAAGTTAGACACTCCAGATGTATGTGCTCCCTATGATCAGGGAAATGATTCACCGGATTACAGGGCGCTCCCTTTAAGTTTGTCCCTCCTTGGCGTTACTACGTAAGATCTCTTCCTCAGGACAAACGGTAATTTTGGATTTTTCAAAACTTTCACTAATCTTCAGTTGAATTTTTTGTAATGAATTTTAAAGGAAGTCCTGAATATACAGATGTATCTTCTTTATCACAATTCTTACTCAGTTGTGGTTCTTGTGACTTTTTTTTGCAGTTCAAAAGTGGGAAACTAATTTGTTTGTTTTGTTTCTCAGATGTCTTTTCTGTCCGGGTACCTGTTTTAAAATTAACTTAGGCCAGGCACAGTGGCTCAAGCCTGTAATCCCAGCACTTCGGGAGGCCGAGGTGGGTGGATCACCTGAGGTCAGGAGTTTAAGACCAGCCTGGACAATATGGAGAAACCCCATCACTAATAAAAATAGAAAAATTAGCTGAGTATGTTGGTGGGCTCCAGAAATCCAAGCTACTTGGGAGACTGAGGTGAAAGAGTCACTTGAACCCAGGAGGTGGAGGTTGCAGAGCCGAGATTGCAGCATTGCACTCCAGCCTGGGCAGCAAGAGCAAAATTCCATCTCAAATAATAATAATAATAACTAAAATTTAACTGTGAAATTTAATTTATGGTTTGCTACCCCTAAGTTACTGGATTATAACTAAGAAGTAAAAAAGTAATTTGCCTTGGCTTAACGTAAAAAAGTAATTTGCCTTGGCTTCACACAGGAAGCTTAACTCTCACTGTTTGAAGAAAACTTAATTCGTTACGAATTAAATCTGCCAGAAATGGGTTGATAGATGGTATGTAGTATCGTAAAGCGTTCTCTCTGAAGGGATTTTCACCTCAGCAAACCATACACAGTGAACCCCTACAGTGAATTCATACATCTGAAGAATAACTGGAGAGGAGGCAAATGCTAAATTATTAGAATTGGCTAACGTGTTTTAAAATTCAATGTGAACTTGTGATCTGCTGCACTCTAAAAGGATAGTCTAAAAGGTCACTTCATTTGGACTACGGTATGTTATCTTTCAAACGTAAACAAAGCAACCGATAGGGAAGCGGAGATTTCAGTACTTTCCTACCTGCGGCTGTTGGTTTCCACTTCCTTCAAGACGTTCTTGCCTTTCCTCTGAAGCCACTTTTAAGTCAAGTTCTGCTAACAAATAAATATATTGCGTTTAAATGAATGACACAGAACACTTAAAAGACTATAATCTTTAGAAAAATGGATACAAAAAACATACACATTTATTTTACAAATTGAGAGTTTAAATGAAGCTTTATGTTTACTACAATATTTACCTTTTTAAGAACTACTTCTAATTATCTAAAACTTCAACAAACCACTTGGGGAGACACTAGATAGCAGCAGGTTCGAGCCATGCAAAAATCTCAGGGTCACCCACAAATTATTCCACTCAATATAAACAAACAAAAATTTAAAATACGTGAAAACCAACGATCCAAGATGGCCGATCGCTAACATCCCGGGATTGCAGCTCTCAGGGAAGGCGCGGAGAACTAGAGGACGCCACACTTTCAGACAAAGTCTGGTCACTCACGGAGCAGAAGATCCCCCAGCGGTGGAAACACACGAGTCACCAGCGCGACTCTCGTGGTCAGCGCAGTGGTCCCGCCAGCACCTTGGCGCGGCAGCGCTCGGCGCAGAGTAAACGGGACCGGTTCCCCTTCTGACCAAGGTTTGGAGCCCCGGGAAGGCAGAGTCGCCTACGGACACAAGAAGGAAGCCCGACAGGAGAATCCTGGGCAGAAAAGCACCATCAGTTTTAATGCCGCTGCTCTGGCCCTGGGAACTAACAACCTGGACGTCCACTCAAGAGACCTAATCTGAAAGTTGGTAATTTCAAAGACGACAGGAGGATAAATTTACAATGATGGGAAGAAACCAGCGTAAAAAAGCTGAGAATACTCAAAGTCAGAATGCCTCTCCCTCTAAAGATGATCACAGTTCCACATTGACAATGGAACAAGGCTTGATGGAGAACAAGCACATCCTGATGACAGAATCACTCTTCAAGGAATGGATAATAACAAACTTCGGTGAGTTAAAAGACCATGTTGTAGCCCAATGTAAAGAAACTAGGAACTTTGAAAAAAGGTTTGATGAAATCCTATTGAGAATAGACAACTTAGAGAGGAGTATGAGTGAATTAATGGAACTGAAGAATACAATACAGGAACTCGGAGAAGTATGCACAGGTTTAAACACTCGAATTGTTCAAGCAGAAGAAGGGATATCAGAGGTCAAAGTCCAACTTAATGAAATAAAATGTGAAGAAAAGATTAGAGAAAAAAGGATAAAAAGGAATGAGCAAAGTCTCCAAGAAATGTGGGACTATGTGAAAAGACCAAATTTACGTTTGATAGGTGTACCTGAATGCGACGGAGAGAATGAATCCAAGATGGAAAATACCCTTCAGGATATTATTCAGGAAAATTTTCCTAAACTAGCAAAGCAGGTCAACATTCAACCCCAGGTAATACAGAGAATACCACAAAGATATTCCTCAAGAAGAGCAACCCCAAGGCACATAATCGTTAGATTCACCAGGGTTCAAACGAAGGAGAGGATACTAAGGGCAGCCAGAGAGAAAGGTCAGATTACTCACAAAGGCAAGCCTATCAGACTTACAGCAGATCTCTCGGCAGAAACTCTACAGGCCAGAAGAGAGTGGGGGCCAATATTCAACATCCTCAAAGAACAGAACCTTCAGCCCAGAATTTCATATCCAGCCAAACTAAGCTTCACAACTGAAGGAAAAATAAAATCTTTTATGAACAAGCAAGAACTCAGAGATTTTATTACCACCAGGCCTGCTTTACAAGAGCTTCTGAAAGAAGCATTACACATAGAAAGAAACAACCAGTATTAGCCTTTCTAAAAATACACCAAAAAGTAAAGAGCACCAACATAAAGAAGAATTTACACCAACAAATGGATAAAACAGCCAGTCAACATCAAATGGCAGTAACCCTAAATTTAAATGGACTGAATTCCCAATCAAAAGACACAGCCAAAACCCAACGGCATGTTACATCCAGACCTGTTTCACATGCAAAGATACACAAAGACTCAAAACAAAGGGATGGAGAAAGATTTACCAACCAAATGGAGAGCAAAAATAATAAATAAATAAAAAGCAGGAGATGCAATTCTTGTATTGGATAAAACAGATTTTAAAGCAACAAAGATATAGTGGTAAAAGGATCAATGCAACAACAAGAGCTAACGTTCCTAACACCCAGATACGAGACATAGATTCAATGAGACAGAAAATTAATAAGGATATCAAGGACTCGAACTCAGATCCAGAACAAGTAAACTTAATAAATATTTATAGAGCTCTCCACTTCAAATACACAAAATATACATTCTTGTCAATACCACATCACACCTACCCATTAGTTTAAATGAAACATTGATTGGCCATTATTAATACCCAATTTTTTTTCAGAATAAAGCAATATTTCCATTTACTCTCCCTCTTTCTCTTCCTCTTTCTTCCTCTCCTTTACTTATTTATTTTTTTTTTCTTTCCTTCTCTCAAAAAAAAAGAAATCAACTTGTAAACCTCTAGATCCAGGTCGGCAATGTCTCTTTCATTGCTTGATTTCCTTTCTTCCCTTCCCTCCCTCCCTCCCTCCCCGCTTCCTCCCTTCCTTCCTTCCTTCATCCCTTCCTTCCTCCCTACCATCCTTATTCCCTTCCTTTCTGCCTTCCTCCCCCCCCAAAAAAAAAAAATACGTGAAAACATATCAAGTAACACTTTGCTATTCTCTCCTTCCTAATGGTGTATTTTTTTAACAACATGCTAAGCGAGTTATTTACCAATAATTTATAAAAATTTTGTTACTGTTATATCTTTAGTAGTGTACATCCTGCTTTTCACATCTGAAATGTTTTCCTCTACTATTCTGAAAAATTTATATTTGTGTTTTAAGACTCTGAATGTAGGCTTGGCACAGTAGATCAGACTTGTAATCCCAGTCCTTTGAAAGGCCCGAGAGAGAGAATTGCTCAAAGCCAAGAGTTTAAGACCAGCCTGGAGACCACAGTGAAACCTTGACTCTATAGAACATTTGCCAGGCATAGTGGTGTGCGCCCGGAGTGCCAGCTGCTCAAGGGGTTGAGGTGAGAGGCTCCCTTAAGCCCAGGAGTTTGAGTTTGCAGCGACTCTCGATCATGCCATTGCACTCCACCCTGGGTGACAGAGTCAGAACTTGTTTCCAGAAACAGAAGAAAAAATCAAAGAAAGAAAGAAAAGGTTCAGAATGCTATGTGAAGTCCTCTTTGAATCTAGCTATTTTTATCCACATACACAAGTGTCTCCTTCCTTGGGGATCCCTTAGTACTCTGCCAATTTGTCTATGTCACTTTACCATCTGAACTGTCCATGATGTCTCTGCATGTCTATCCTCTTTGCTGCTAGACTGTAGCAATCATCTTTGCATAAAGTCTTTATTTTCCTAAATATTTGGTAAGTTCCTGCTAAGTGGTGGCACTGGGGTTTAAGGAATGGGAATAAAATTGGTCAGGGATAGCTTTTCTAGAGATCGCGCGTGAGCTGAGACTTAGAGCATCAAGTACACCAGATTAAAAGAGGCAGAGGGCAGAAAGAATAGCGCGTTGGCAAGAGAGGAAAAGAAGCCTCCCAGAGCGTATGTATCTGTCTACATGAGAGGGATGGTGATGGGGGCATTACCAGTAGCTCAGTAATGGCAGAAAAAAGGGCAGACAGACAAAGGGCTGCAGATGGGGATTTGGACAGAAGCCAGTTTCTGAAAGCCTTATACAAACCGACTATCATTATCGTTTCTTAAATTTAGAAAAAAGCAAAACAAATTTTAAAAGAAAAAGACCAGCATTTTATCTTATCTTATCTTAGGTGACTTGATTTGCATTAGAGGCGTGGTCTTGCTCTGCCGCCCAGGACTGTCGTTTTGCTATCAGAGCTAACTGCAGCCTCAAACTTCCAGGCTCAAACAACTCTCTGCTTCAGCTGCTCAAGTAGCTGGGATTACGGGGGCAGAACACCACACCCAGCAACATAAAAAAAAAACAGACACGGAGCCTTGCTATGTTTCCCAGGCTGCTGGACTTCCTGGCCTCAAGGGATTTTTCTGTCTCAGCCGCCAACACTGTGGGGATTACAGCAGGAGCCACCATGCCCAGCAACACCAATATTTTATTTGTTTATTTATGTATTTTTTTGAGACAGAGTTTCGCTCTTGTTAGCCAGGCTGGAGTGCAATGGTGCGATCTCGGCTCACCGCAACCTCCGCCTCCTGGGTTCAGGCAATTCTCCTGCCTCAGCTTCCTGACTAGCTGGGATTACAGGCACGGGCCACCATGCCCAGCTAATTTTTTGTATTTTTAGTAGAGACGGGGTTTCACCATGTTGACCAGGATGGTCTTGATCTCCTGACCTCGTGATCCACCCGCCTCGGCCTCCCAAAGTGCTGGGATTACAGGCTTGAGCCATCGTGCCCAGCAACACCAATATTTTAAATGAATAAACTGGAGTTCCATCATTTTATTTTATCATGAGTGGGTAAAAACCTCATAATAGACTCATGTACTCCATGGATTTGTGACAAGGAAACTGTAGCATTAACTATGGCTGAAGCTTCCCTGGTCTATGTGGTTAAGAGTAGAGACATTCAAGTGTCTTACCCTTTGCTGCTCCTCCTGTTCCTCCTCCTCCTCCTCCTTCTTGTTGTTCTTCTTCTTCCTCCTCCTCCTCCTCCTCCTCTTCTTCTTCTTCTTGTTCCTCCTCCTTCTCCTCTTCTCCTTCTCCTTCTTCTCCTTCTCCCTCTCCTTCTTCTTCTTCTTTGTTCAAATTTGCAGGCTTCATAGCTGCTGTTTCTGTCAAACATGCAAGCTTGTTATCTACTCCTTCTGGAAACATCATCCCTCTGCCTTGTTATCTGGCAAAGTTTCACTCACTCTACATGCTTACCCTAAATCTTACACACCTTTTAGAAGCTTGCACTCATCACCACAAATTTAAAAGTGCATGGAATCTAATGAGCATAATAAAATACCTAGTAAATAATAACTATATGCTCTCAGGTGACATCTATCGTCCATCTATCCTCTACATTAGGGGTCAGCACACTACAGACCACAGGCCAAATGCTGCCTAGCATATGTTTTTTCTCAAAGTTTTATGAGAGTAGTCAGACCCATTCACTGACAGGCCACCTATGACTGCTTTCTCACCACCATGGCAGGGTTGAGTAGCTACAATAGAGATCACATGGCTTCAACTGTTCAAAATCATTTTTGCGGGGGGCGGGGAGATAGAGAGAGAGAAAGAGAGAAAAAGAGAGAGAGAGACCACATGGCCTAAAGTATTTTCTACTTGGCCCTGTATAGAAAAAGCTTGCCAATCTCTGCTTTATACCATGAACAGAATGCCCTAATTCTCAAATCTAATCCAATGCCTTCCCTGCTCACAATTTTCCAATGAATTCCTGCAGCGAACACTGCTGGCTCCCTACCCAAGAGCAGTTCCTTATTGTTTCTTGCTGGAGAAACACAAATCTATTTGGACATTTATTATCCCAATAACCCTCCCCAGCTTCGAAAGAGAAATGATTATTCTAAGGTAATCACATAATTACATGTGCTTTCCCATTGCCTGGTTCAGGGATGAGCATGTGGTGTGACCCAGGCAATAAGACAGTAAAGGAAGCCCCCTGCATGCTTCTGAGTTTTCTCTCAGTTTAAAAGACACATATGAAGAAAACCAGCCCTTCCAGCCCTTCGATGCTGTCTTGTGAGAACTTGGAGCTGTTGCTAAGTAGTGACCCGTGAAAGGAGACATGAACAAGACACTGCTGACATCTTACATGAAAGACGAACACGTGGGATCCAGTAATATCATGGGACCAAAACAAGTCTGCTTTTTATGGTTTTGGCCACTGTTAATTAGGTCTTTCTAATATTTTCAGCCAAAAGCATTCTACCTGAGAAGTTTCTCCTAGCCACAGGGTAAGATCTACTCATTTATATCCTACTGAAAGTCTTTTAGTAAACTTGTTTATAGACACAGGTAAAACAACAACAACAAAGTATTTCCTCAGCTTGCCTTTACTGACACATGCTGGACATCATAAATACATAATAAATAACTGTAAGCTATTTTCACCCCATTCCCAACCACTCCCATATACTCTTTCTGCACTAGTCAATTTGAACTGCTCATAAACTCTACAGAGTTCACTCAGGTGTCCTGCCTTTTGAACTTGCTCCTCCTTTTTTGAAACTTTCATCCTTCATGGCTGCTGCTTCTGTCAAACATGCAAGCTTGTTAGAGATTCCTTCTGCCAAGCATCGTCCCTCTGCCTCCTTACCTGGAAAAGTTTACTCACTCTACGTGCTTGCCCTAAATCCTACCCACATTTGAGAAGCTTGCATTCATTGCCACAGATGTAAAAATGCCTGGCACATACTAAACGTAATACACATATGTAAGGAATAATAACTATAAGCTCCCAGATGACAGTGGACACACAGTAAGCACTACATAAGGGAGTAAACCAAATAAAGGACAATGGTAACAACAATCTCCTAACCGTATTAATAAACTGTCTTTTGTAACATTGGAGAAAAATTCTTAGTCCATAAAAGACACATGAGTTATTTTTTAAGTGGACAGTGTATGAATGAATCAACATATTTTTCTTAAAAAGTTAGTAGAAAAAATACAAAAATTAAAGTTATCTATATTCTGTTATGAACACCTTGAAGACAAAAAGCTACGTCAATTTCATCTTTGCCTTTTGCAATTTGCCAAACCTAACTTACAGAAGTGGTTTGATACGTATGTACTAAATTTAAGGTGTCTTTATACCGTTCAGATGGCACAATGTATTAGGTGTTACATTTTCGTTATTGTGAACCATTTTTATGATTTTATTATAATATTTTGAACCTAGAGTTTGGCTACTGGAATATTTATTATGATCACCATTTGCCTAATGGTCACAGAGTACCTTTTTATTTATTTTTTTCAGATGGAGTCTGAGTGCAGTTGTGCGATCTCGATCTCGGCTCACTGCATTTCCAACTCCCAGGCTCAAGCAATTATCCTGCCTCAGCCTCCCAAGTACTTGAGATTACAGGTGATTGCCCCCATGCCTGGCTAATTTTTGTATTTTTAGTAGAGATGGGTTTCACTACGTTGGCCAGGGAAGTCTCAAACTGATGACCTCAAATAATCCACCTGCTTTGGCCTCCCAAAGTACTAAGATTTTTTCTTTTTTGAGACGGAGTTTCGCTCTTGTTGCCCAGGCTGGAGTGCAAAGCGCGATCTGAGCTCACCGCAACCTCTGCCTCCTGGGTTCAGGCAATTCTCCTGCCTCAGCCTCCTGAGTAGCTGGGACTAACAGGCATGTGCCACCATGCCCAGCTAATTTTTTGTATTTTTAGTAGAGACGGGGTTTCACCATGTTGACCAGGATGGTCTTGATCTCTTGACCTCGTGATCCACCCGCCTCAGCCTCCCAAAGTGCTGGGATTACAGGCGTGAGCCACCGCGCCCGGCCCAAAGTACTAAGATGACAGGTATGAGCCACCATGCCAAACCTGGTAACAGAGTATATTGTTCCAATAAAATCACTATTATTGTGAGAATTATCCAGCATATAATAAAATGCAGCTTGTTCTAAGAAGTAAATATATCTCATGAGGTTCCAACTTATGGAGAATGAAGTAAAAAATAGACCTCGTTTGTATAAGAATATGTAATATAACTTCTGCTGCTTGGAAAGGAATTACTTTTCTGACTTCTGCATTCAGTAGGTAACTTTAAAAATCATCTCTCTGAATGGGTGAACACTGGCTCAGTTTTATGACTCTTATTCCCTTTGTTTTATGGTATCAAAAAGAAATCGTTGAGTTCCCAGTTCTAAAGATAGTTACTTTCTTAGTGACACAAATTCCTGTGTAATACAGTTGACCCTTAAACAACCAGAGTTTGAACTGCAGGGGTCCACTTACATGCAGATTTTTCTTCTGCCTCTGCAAACCAGAGACAGCAAAACCAAACTTTTTTATTCCTCTTCAGCCTAATCAACCTGAACATAATGAAGACCTTTGCGAGAATTCACTTAAGCTTTTGAATAGTAAATATATTTTTTCTTTTCTATAATTTTCTTTATAAAAGCTTCGTTTCTCTACCTTATTTTATTGTAAGAACATAGTATATAATAATGCAACACATACCAAATATGTGTTCATCGACTGTTTATCAGTAAGGCTTCCAGTCAATGGTAAGCTATTAATAGCTCAGTTTGGAAGGAGTCAGCTACACTCAGATTTTCAACTGCACAGGGATCAGAGTCCCTAACCCGCACATTATTCAAGAATCAACTGTAGTTAATGTTTATTTACTAAATACAAACCATTAATTATAAAAATTAAATAGAAGATCCATTTGCATGACAAGTCCAGTTTGTAATAATGTGATCATAGAGAAATACAGCATACTAACTGAAACATCTAATTTCTTTTTATATCAATACAAAAACATCACATAGATTTTCAGGGATCATAAGTAGCTAAATAAACTTTTTCAGACTGTTTGAGATTACAAATTAGCTACAATTAACCTCTTAAATAACTCTAAATTCTAAAGAAATTAAATAAAAAACATATATACATATTTAATTATGTAAAAAACTTATATATACATATATATATATATTTAAACTCCTCTTTAATAATTAAAACTGTATGATCTTACTTTTTTTCCCCAGAGATAGAGTCTTGCTCTTTCGTCCAGGCTGGAGTGCAGTGGTGTGATCTCAGCTCACTGCAACATCCACTTTCTGGGTTCAACTGATTCTCCTGCCTTAGCCTCCCAAGTAGCTGGGATTACGGGCTCCAGCCATCCCGCCTGACCGACTTTTTATTTTTAGAAGAGATAGGGTTTTGCCATGTTAGTCAGATTGGTCTCAAACTCCTGACATCAGCAGGTCCACCCGCCTTGGCATACCAAAGTGCTGGGGTCATAGCTGTGAGCCACCATGCCTGGCCTGGAATATTGCTTTTTAAAATCAATAAGACTACCAAGAGAAATGAGAAATTTACTATCAGAAGTCTTACCTCGATTGTCATTTCGAAGATGTTTTTTAAGTATCTTATTTTTATGTACCAAAAGTTGTTGTTGAATGCTACAAGCATAATAAATATAATACATAAAATTACTGTTTTTATCAAAATATAATATTTACCAAACATATGAAATTTTAAAGCTTTTCAGACAATATCAGAGCTAATAACAGAACTTTAATGTCCCATACACTTTAAAATTGTAAGCTCTATAAACTTAAGCTTCTAATTAAAGAAGAAAAACATAAAGTACTCATAAACGGAGAGAAGCATAGCTCAGTAAATGAATTCTAGTCAGTTTAACATCCTGGAAAGTGTCCTGCACTCAGAATAAGTCTTCGCTCTGTAACCAACAGGTATTTCGTTTGTGGACCAGTTGTTCTTAGGCTCCATGGCTTCTTCTAAAAAATAAGGATTTACTGCCTTTCTTCACTAGGCTGTAAGTAGGATGTAAGGAGATAACATGTTTAAATGCTCAGAGAAATAGGAAAGCAATGGAACAATTTACTCGAAGTGCATTGCTGAAATAATTTTGAAATCTCAAAACCTGATGGGTGCATTTTCATAGGTTCTAATATTTCAATGTCACAGTTTTTGGAAAATGTTATTAAGTGCTAATTTTGACAAGACAACACCCGGCTTGTATTGTCTTCCAGTTCCATGAAATAGATGCGAGTTGATGTTTCCTTATTTCCAAGTCAGGTACTAACAACATATTTGCATGTAACATCCCATATGTTACTCAGTTCTGTTCTCATTTCACAGATCACCTTACATGAATACTTTTTTTTAAATTGAGATGAAGTCTCACTCTGTAGCCCAGGCTGGAGTGCAGTGGCACAATCTCAGCTCACTGCAACCTCTGCTTCCAGGGTTCAAGCAATTCTCCTGCCTCAGCCTCCTGAGTAGCTACTGGAGTAGTAGACTGCTGGAGTGTGCCAACACACTTGGCACCTTTTCTGCATTTTTAGGAGAGATGGGGTTTCACCATGTTATCTGGGATGGACTCAATCTCCCGACCTCATGCTCGGCCCGCCTCGGCCTTTCAAAGTGCTGGGATTACAGGCATGAGCCACTGCATCTGGCCCGACATGAACACTTCTATGATGATAATAGTAACAATTTCAATTTTGGGCGTCTCCCAGTTTGGTTTGACTCACACTGTTTCCCTGGAGCTAGTTAACAGATAGTCAAATGACATTCTGGGGACTGTGCAAAATACAGAATGCTTTGAGAATCTGTGTGCCATTCTTAGACAGCAGGCATGCTTATCTGTTCTGTACTGATTCAATATTGGAATATGTGCTGCTGAAACAGGTGTAAGGCCCTTATACATGGATACTCATGAGTCATGTATAAAGCTTAGCTCTGCTAAATCCAAATTACCTACTGCAGATATAGAGAACTGTATTGAATGACTTCCTGTGAGGTAGAATTTTTAAGTATTTCAAAAACTTGAGGTAGAGACGCAAGTATCCTGACAGATTTTCATTATGATGGAAACAGACCACTGGGCCAGCTGCAAGTTGGTGCCCACTACTCTACTGCAGGATAATGTGGAAGCTTCTGCTGTCTATCAAAAGCTGCTGCACGGGACATGAAAAAGCCTCAGGTGCAGATGTGATAACAAAAGGGATGGACACTCTGACCTCTTCCTACGACATGATTTGAACGTTCCTGACTGTTGAGTACAATTCCAACTAATATTTGCCAGAGAAAAGACAAACATCAGTCTCAAAGGATAACTTACCAGGAAAGTCTGGGCTAAGCCTAACTAAGAGGTGGGCTACAAATAAGGTTTTTAGTTTTGAGACAGGGTCAATTTACAATTATGTGTTTGGGTAAAGCCAGGAGGCCTCGCGGCCAGAGCAGAATGCTGGGAACACGGGCTGAGTATATGTACATGAATAAAAACACACTGCAGCTGTGACCTCTGTGTATGAGTCACCATGAAGACTGAGGGATCTGAATCAGTAAAGGCATCCTGGGGGCAAAGGTCAACCATTGCCAGATTGTAGGACCCGTTACAATGGCAGCAAGACAGCAGGTGAATCGGTGGAAACAACGGATGATGAGAGTTTTTCTCCCCTTCTTCCGACTTGTAAAGTGAGACCGTCTTCCTTGGACTTCGTGGACGACTTCGTTTTTCAAAAAATTCAAAGCAGGAAGGCACAGGAGACAGCCCCAGGGGACAATACAAGATTTTCTGCTAAACTGGACATTTCAAGACCCAACAACTAATTAGAAAGGTCAGGCCAGGCACGTTGGCTAGCAGTTTGGGAGGCCGAGGCAGGAGAATCACTCGAGCTTAGGAACATGGGCAACATAGTGAGACCTTGTCTCAAAAAAAAAAGAAAGAAAAATAGTAAAAAGATGTGACACTATTTATATGTCACGTCTAGGGGTTATACTTGGAATAAAATGAACAACACTGAGGTATCCAGGGACAAAAGTTTTTTAAAGTCCTGAAAGAATCTTGCACTATTGCTCCTTCTCACTGGTTTAGCTTCTGTTTGATTTCTGGCTACAAAGTGGACTAACTCATTGCCATCCCTAACTACATCTAAAAAACTATGAAATGCCACCTAATGTGTAAGATGCAATATTTCTCATTGTTGTAAAACCTAACTTAGTATTAACTGGTCTTTTAATATAAACACTTACCTTGTGACATCACAACAAACGGCATAATCTTCTGCAGTTAGTTGAAACGAATCTTGAGAAAAGATGTTAACATTTTGTTCAAGAAGAAAGCCGACTATACTTGGAAAGTCATGATGTATGGCAAGCACGAGGGCTGTTCTAAAATATCAAAGAAATGACTCCACTCAAGAACGTTCATAAGGATATTTAACTGGCAAATTGGATACAGCTTACCAATTAGTATCTTGCCTGTCAGTGCAGACATAAGAACCATTCACATGTTCTAGCTTAGGCCTATAAGCATCTTGGGTGCTTAAGTGTTCATCTTTGTAAATTAATTTTAATTTTAATTTTTATAAAGACGGGGTTTCACCATGTTGGTCAGGCTGGTCTTGAACTCCCCACCTTAGGTGATCCACCCACCTTGGCCTCCAAAGTGCTTAGATTACGGGCGTGAGCCACCACGCCCAGCCCATCTTTGTAAATTACCACCAAAGCAAAAAGGCAGGGACAATAAGGAAGTCTCTTGTCCCACTGGGGTATGACACAATACAAATTGCTAACTTATAGTTTTCTGATGGCCAAGAAACTATGCTGAGGTCATTTATATAAAGTAAGCAAGTATTTAGATGAAGATTTCTTCATTGCTTTTCTAGTCTGGTATATCGTAATTCAAAGTCAGCTAGAGGTCAGGTAACTGAGTGCTAACTGCAGGCTGAAAACAACAGCAACGATGGTAATAATAATAACGGGAATAGTAGTAGTTGTAAACTGAAAGTTAAAATCTTCAAAGGAGGAGGGCGGGGTGTGGCGGCGCAGGCCTGTAATCGCAGCTCTTTGGGAGGCCGAGTTGGGCAGATCACCTGAGATCAGGAGATCGAGACCATCTTGACCAACATGGAGAAACCCCGTCTCTACTAAAAATACTAAAAATACAAAACTAGCCAGGTGTGGTGGCACATGCCTGTAATCCCAGCTACTCAGGAGGCTGAGGCAGAAGAATCGCTTGAACCCAGGAGGCAGAGGTTGCAGTGAGCAAGATCGTGCCACTCACTGCACTCCAGCCTGGGCAACAAGAGTGAGATCCCACCTCAAAAAAAAAAAAAATTCAGAGGAGGAAGGCATAGGATAACATAAGAATGGTAACTGTAGTAGTTTTAAACCGAAAGTTAAAGTCTACACTTTATAAAATTAATAAAACACGAAACCCCTTTAGCTAATATAAAATTTGAGGACCAAAACCATCCGATTACAAATAACAGTCTATAAGAGAAAATGAACCCTACTATATACCATTCTTACGTTGTACAGTCCAAATAACTGCTTTTCTATTTAACTGATTATTTGTGCTGTTTTTCACTGTATGCCAATAATTATAAGTTGATCTTATTAACATTTCTGACTCCAGTGACTGTTACCATTCTAGAATAGTCAGGATTTTGTTTTTTAAAAAATGAACTACTGTACCTTCTGAAATTATCAACTGCATGTACATTTGCCCCATTTTTTACCAAAAATTCCACCATTCGCCGTCTCTTGCAAATTACGGCAAGCAGAAGGGGTGTGTTTCCCTCCTGTGAGAAAGCAAAAACAATTTATAATTCATAAAACTACATAGTTCTCAACTGAACGAAAAATCTTCTATAAGATGCTATGAAGTTAAACAAACAATATAGAAAGAAAGTAAATGCAAAACGGTCACAGCCTTCGCCCTCCTCTGTGCTTTTCCACACACTGCCTTGCAAACACCCCTCTTCTGTCTCCCCATGTTAACCTTAGTCATCTCCAAAACTCACTTTACCAGGCCCCAAAATCATTGTTTCTATCACAGCGTTTTAACACAGCATATACTGTAATTATTTCATTGCTTCCCACTGAAACCAAGAGCTTCTTGAGAGCAAGGGCTGTATCTTTTTTTCTCTCTCTATAACCCTAAAACTGAAGACATAGTAGCAAATGCTTCAAATTTTAAAAATAAATTAATGACCTAAATCATTCTCTAGAGCAATTTTTCTTAAACTATATTCCAAAGAATATTTGTTTTGCCAGAAATACTATTCCCCAACAGCAAGATTCCGTGATCACTTGCATTTGAGAAGTATTACAAAACTGTATGATGGGGCTGACAATCAAGAAATCTCCTGAACTTTGCCTAATCCCAATTTGACAATACTTTTTGTGCCAAACAATCACATTTTAGAATCGTTGCATAGGTACACACATGGCAATGTGGTTTGCTGCCTCCATCCCCCTATCACCTACATCTGGCATTTCTGCCGATGTTATCCCTCCTTGACCTCCGCACCCCTCCACTGTCCCTCCCTTGACCCCCCCAACAGACCCCAGTGTGTGATGCTCCCCTCCCTATGTCCATGTGTTCTCGCTGTTCATCAACCGCCTATGAGTGAGACCATGTGGTGTTTGATTTTCTGTTCTTGTGTCAGTTTGCTGAGGATTATGGTTTCCAGGTTCATCCATGTCCCTACAAAGGACATGAACTCATCATTTTTTATGGCTGCATAGCATTCCACAGTGTATATGTGCCACATTTTCCTTGTCCAGTCTATTGATGGGCGTTTGGGTTGGTTCCAGGTCTTTGCTATTGTAAACAGTGTCGCAATGAACATATGTGTGCATGTGTCTTTATAATAGAATGATTTGTAATCCTTTGGGTATATACTCAGTAATGGGATTGCTGGGTCAAATGGAATTTCTATTTCTAGGTCCTTGAGGAAGTGCCACAGCGTCTTCCACATGGTTGAACTAGTTTGCACTCCCACCAACAGTGTAAAACTGTTCCTATTTCTCCACATCCTCTCCAGCATCTGTTGTCTCCTGATTTTTTAATGATTCTAACTCGCGTGAGGTGGTATCTCAATGTGGTTTTGATTTGCATTTCTCTAATAATCAGTGATGATGAGCATTATTTCATGTGTTTCTTGGCCTCATATATGTCTTCTTTTATTTCAAAATATTTTCATTCAGGGAGTGCTTCAGCTTCTAAACATGAAAAATTAATCCTTATCTTTCTCAATGTCAAAACAAATATTTTGAAAAGAAAGGTGATTGATCTATACCTTGTTTACTGCTTCAATATTTGCACTGTGGAAAAGCAGTTTTTCTGCCAGTGAAGTCCCCTCATTATATATAGCATAATGAAGAGCGGTGTTGCCGTAGACATCTTGAATGTTTGGATTGGCGCCATGTTTCAGCAGAGAAATGGAGCAGTTCTCATTCTGGCTGTGTACAGCCTATCAGTGTTAAATAAAAAACTAGGCTGTAAATTCTAAGAATTCACAGTACATATTCCACAGGTTTCACCAACTAGTTATATTTAAATGCGATAAATTCATTTTATTTCTATGTATTTAAAGCAAATCCGTTTGATGCTGTAGAGTTGGCTACTACATACCTTCATTAACGGTGTCCTGTTTAGTCTGTCGCCGACGTCCGTCTGGCAGTTTCTGCTCAGTAACAGACTGACAACTTCCGCATGGCCATAGGCACAGGCCAAATGGAGGGCAGTCCTGTGAGAGTAGGAGGAGTTTTCAGGAAATTGCAATGCCATATCCCAAGACCTACGGTGGTTCACGTCATTGTCAACATTGAATGGCATGCTATTCCTCTGCCTTCAAAACAAATAAAATTTTTTGGACGAAAGTACAATATTTATTAGCTCTTATTGCTCACTGCCTTAATGAAGACAGCAACCTATTTGGATAGAATGAGCTTGGTCTTTGGATTCCGTCCAACTAGGGCTTGAGTTCTACTCTGAGCTCTGTCACTTACCAGCTATTACTTAGGCTTCCTGTGCCTCAGTTTCCTCATTAATAAAATAAAGATGACAATAGCAGCTGGCTCACAGGACACCATTGTGATGCTTAAATGTGAACCTATCTAAACTATTTAGAACTGTTTTTAGAACAAGCAAGAACTCAGTAATTGTTAGATTTTAGTTTTTTGAGAAAGGGTCTCACTCTGTTGCCCAGGCTGCAGTGCAATGGTGTATTTATACCTCACTGCAGCCTGGAACTCTGAGGCTCAAGCAATCCTCCTGCCCTAGCATCCTGAGTAGCTGCGACTACAGGAGTGCACCAGCATGCTCCATTAATTTTTAAATGTTTTTTGGTAGAGTAGGAATCTCACTTTGATTCCCAGGGTGGTCTCAAGCTCCTGGCATCGAGGGAACCTCCCACCTCAGCCTCCCAAAGTTCTGGAATGACAGGTGTGAGCCCCTGCACCCAGCCAGATGTTGTAATTATTACCATTACTAGTGCTTAAAAAATGTTTCATTAAGTAAAATGACACAATTATTCCTATTCTGCAAAATGATTTAAAGATTAGGTCACATCTTAACATACCTGATATTGGAATGGCATTTATAATTCATAACTTTTTACACCAGGAATCGGTAGTATTTTAAAAGTATCTTATTAATGTAGAAAATAATAGGGTACCACAATATCTGTGAGGCCTTACATTAAGTAAAATACAGGATACACAGCAGGTCTAGAGCTCTTTTAGGCATCTAACTGGCACTTAAATTTTAGTTCTTAAAGGAACCATGGGAAAAGAGCACTGAAATAACATGTTTTTAAACAAATTATTTCTTACTTTGATTTTTGAAAAATGTGAAGCCAAAGGAAACTCATGAGTGAAATAAACAGGTATGGATCATTTTAGTCAACACTTAGATTTACAGAATATATGCAAGTCAGACTTTCTAATGACTTAGCGTTTTAAGACGAATAAATTTTCAAAAGGGTAGTTAAAGGTTATCTTTTACTATTTTTTACCTTCAGAAATGCTTTTGTTTGAAAGCTGGGAGGAAAAGCTTCGATGAGATTAAGCCCTAATATTTCCACTTAGCCTCTCTCACCTTGCCCAGGCAGAACAGGTAAACAAAGTTGTTAAGAATGGAAGGGCCCTGAGAGAGTACAAGCCGTCTGCTACATAGCAGGTAGCAGGTTACGTCTGACGAACAAATGGACTGAAAGAACTGACACAGCTGGGGAGTTCCATATTTTAAAATATAACTTCTGTAATCCAGCATTTTTGTGATAGTAATTTTATTTGTGATTTGTTATTTTTATAAGACTACAACTAAAACAAAATGATTAATCTATCATTGTTTGCATATATGTAATGTATGTATACATAAGAAAAACATATGCACATAACAAAATATATATGTAATAACATCTGCAAGCACAGATAAAAAGATTCCCTTTTTGCTTCTGAAGAAGCTAAAAGTTCAAAGATAACAAGCCACACAGTAATGATGAAAAATAGACAATGAGAAATTATTTTTATCTCCACAAGATTTATATTTCTCTCATCCCAAAAATTATTTCATTAATACATTTTTACTAGAATTGTTATACTCACTGAAGAAATGACAGTTTTTTTAAAAAAGGAACAAAGACTTAAAATATAAGTGCTCAGAAGTTACAAATTTTATCCTATTTTGTGCAAAGTTTTGGCTAACAGAACACCACAGTGTGTTTGTGCGTATGTGTAAGCAAACGGATTGTTTTCCTCACTGGCTATAACAAAACACATCTCCACACAGCAACATATCTACGCTTACTGCCATCTTCAGTGGTCACCTATTCATTCTGTGGGTTCTTGTTAACATAAATGCTAAGAAAAACAAAGTGCCTGGATCTCTACTTTCTGAAGGCATTTTAATATAATGGGACTGAGGAGCAAAGGGCATCTACATTTTTCAGTTTGGTGCAATTCCCACCAAATGGTCTACCTGACAAGTTAGCAGCAACTTCAACTTGAAGCAGCAGCGGAAGTGCCACTGCTCTTTCCTCTCACACACACTGTGGGTAGAAGACAGTCTCATTCCTCTTTAAACTTAAAATTCTCTTACAAGAAACACTAAGGATTTTTTCCTATGTAAGTCACTGTGGATCTGCAGAAAGTACTTTGCTCACTTTTAGAGTTCTTTTCTTGTGGATTTGATTTGAAAAAATTCCATGTAAAATGAAGATGTGGATTTTATTTATCTGTGTATATGCATAACTGATAAATATATAACATTATATTAGTAATATATACAATTTTTATATAATCACTAATAGATAAAATATTATATATAATAAAGAATAAATTCCCTGTAGGATGAAGATACACTTTTCATCTGAATATGTATTTATATATACACTAGTAAAATTAGATATATAGAGAGAATAGTTTTTAGGTATGTTATCTTTTGCTAATTGTTTTCGGATACACACGGTGTTTTGATTTTTAGTCCGCTAAGTGAACTATCAGAATGCCAGCCTGTGAGGTCATTCTTAGAAAGGCCTTTGTCAACATAAAATGTACCTGTACAAATAGGCATTTCTGTTTTCTGCTGGTCCTTTTCTCATCTTGCATATGCAAACATTTCAATCTGCGTTCCATCAGGAACTCATTTTTGGGACATAAAATGTCATTAGTTTTCTTCACACAGCAGGCATTTTATTAATAACACATCCTTTCCTACTCATCTGAAATGTTACCATTATCAATCCCTGCATCTATAGCTTACAGATATTTCCGTGTTTCTGGATTTCCTATTCTGTTCCATGTATTTATCTGTCTTTTCAGCTGTTGGTAAATAATTGTGGGAATTCATCGCACATTTTGACATCTAGAGGAGCAAGTCTTTTTTCACTCCATTATAAACATTTTTAAATGTCATCACAATAGTAAGATAGACAACAGCTGTCATGCAAAATGAAACCTTGATGTTTTCATTTGGTCTATGGAAAACTGATAAACATAGAGCTCACATTTTGAGAAAACTGAGTCTTCCCATTCAAGGAACCCACTTGAAGTTTCCCTCAAAGAAGTCCCAGGAAAGAACCTATCTGCATCGATTCGGATGTAAAACGGACACCGGGTTTTTAATCTGAGAACTTTTCCCCTACTGAAAATGACTCATGGTATTTTTGACAAGGGAATGAGTTCGCATTAGGCATTTTCCTATCATGTACACGACACCATGTTTTAAACGTGCCTATGCTCAAGTTTGTGAGTTAAATCATTCAAATTTTACACCAAGTTCTCCAGGCAGGGAATTGCCAGCGATGGAAAGCAGCTGAGGCTCGCTTTCGCCCCACTGCTTTGAGGCTGCCCGGCGCCCTCCAAGACCCGGTCCCAGGGGCTGCAGGGAAGCCGGGCCTGGGACCCCCCTCTGACCCCGGGCTGAGCCCCAGACACAAGCCCCCGCTACCTGTCCTTTCTGTCGCGGGCGTCCACATCCCGGCTCCTGCCCTTCAGGAGGCAGCGCCGCACCTTCGCAGCATCGCCCTGGAGGGCCGCCCTGTGGATCTCCCGCGGTTCCCAGTCCCGGATGTGGTACCCGCGACCCGAGTACTTGTCGTCGATGAAGTCCCGGATCGCCTGGCCCAGGCGTCTCCCAAAGCTAAAGAGGTTCCACATGGTGGCGGCTTCTCCTCAGAAGCCCACCACCGACTCCTGAGCCGCCGGGCTCCTCGTGGCCTTGCAACCCTCACCCAGCCCCAAATCTGCGACCCACCCCGAACCAGGGGTCCACCCCCAAACCCGCGATCAGAATCCGCGATCCAGCCCGGTCCACCACAGCCAGCAGCAGCGAGACTCGCAGCCTCCGACCTCAGACCGAGTGAGCCGAGTGAGGCCGTTAGGCCCGCGCCTGCAGCTCAGCGCCCGCCCGGACTCCGGAAGCCGCTCCCAAGCCAGCGCGCGGCAGGCAGGTGGCGGTTGCAGCGCCGGTGCAGGCGCCTCTGGCTGGCGGGTTCTCTTGCGCTCGCCTGGAACGTCCAGGAATCGCCCGCGCGCAGCCCGCCAGGCCTGAGGTACCGCATGGCGCTCGGGGCGCCGGAGCCCCCGCAGGAGCAGCCCTGGCCCCTGCCGGTGCAGGTGGAGCTGGGTAAGCTGCTGGCGGAGATACTGGTGCAGGCCACTCAGATGCCGTCGAACCTGGCCGAGCCGCGCGACTCTTCCCGGCTCGATCCCCTGCTCTACCACCTGTACTCCTTCCGTAGCATCTGCCAGATCGGCTTCCTGAAGCCGCACCCGGCCTACGTGCAGCTGCTGGCGACGGCCGCGGAGCCCACACTGACCTTCCAGGCGGTGGATGTGCCCATGCTGTGCCCGCCGCTGCCCTGGACCTCGCCGCACACCGGTGCCTTCTTGCTCAGCCCCACCAAGCTGATGCGTGCGGTGGACTGCACCATGCACCACCAGCGCTTGCAGGAAAACAGCCCGCCCACCGCACTACAAGGCGCCCTGGACACGCTCACCCAGCTGGGCACCTGTGCCTGGCTTGCCAACGGGCGCGTGCTGGAACTCTTCCAGGACAACGGCTGCCCCAAGCTCCGCATGCTGGCCCTGCCGTTCGAGGTGGCCCCACCACCCGAGGACCCCCAGCCGCCCAGCTGGCGCGCTGCCTGAAGGAGGCCGGCGAGGTGCACAGCCTGTGGGTGGATGCGCTGTACCGCCTCTCGCTGGCGCAAACCCCGCGGAACTGCGTCTTCCGCCTGCTGCACAACATGGCCTTCTGCAGCCGCACCTACCCTTTCCCGCCGCACTTCAAGAACCTGGGCAATGACCTGGCGCGGGCCCTGCTCGAGATCGCCCAGGGTCGCCCACTCGGCCCGCATGGCCTAGACTGGCTCAAGAGCCAAATGGTCAACCTCACGGGGCTCAAGAAGCACGAGCCGCTGCAGGTGTGCCAGGCCTTTGCAGATGAAGTGATGCCTGGACTCGAGGGACAGGCCCACGACGGGCCGGAAGTGGTGGATGGGCTCAGAGGAACCCTGGCAGACAGCGGCCTGCAGTATGGAGATTGCAAAGGCTGTGCGCACCTGCAACCCTGCCGCCTATGTCTCCCACCTCCCAGTCCATGAGGACGGCTCTTGCAATGCCCTGCCCCATTACACTACCCTGGGCCGGGACAGTGTGGGCGCCGCCTCTGTCAACCTGGAGTGACACCCCGATATGCCAACCAAACCAACCCCCTACGTGAGCAGTGCAACCCCAGATAGCACCCCAATCCCCTCACTACTGGGTGCAGTGCAGGCCCCCATAGCTCCTCCAACCCACTTCCTGCCTCAGGAACTGCAGCCAGGGATAGCGCTCCAAACTTGCTACCCACCTCTGGAAATGTAGCCACGGACAGTCCGCCCAATCCATCCCCCACCATGAGCAGGGTAGCTCCCAGTAGCGGACCCAACCTGCCCCTGCCACAGCCAATATGCCTCGGAGAGCACACCCACCTGCTCCCTGCCAGGCAACACAGACCCCTGACAGCACCCAACATGCTCCCTCACCATGAGCAGTCTATCCTGCCCCCAACAGCACCCCCAGCCAACCCCCACTTCCTCTCCTCATGCAGTCTGGCCTCCAGTAGTGCTCCCAAGGAACACTCCCCACCTCTGCCTCAGTGTAGCCCCTGATAGCACTCCCCGCCACCAGGAGTGTAGCACCCTATAGTGACCATAACCCATCCCCCACCACTGGGATTCGAGCCCGATAGTGTCCCCAACCCACCCCCCGCTGAAGGCAGCAGCCATGGATAGTGCCCCAACCAGTTCCCAGATGGAGGCAGTGACGCCCTGGTTATCACACTCCCCACCCACCATGGACAATGTAACACCCCACAGTGCCCCCAACCTATTCCTGACAAAGGAATTGCAGCATCCTATAGCTCCCCCAACTTGCCTCCCAGTGCGGGCAGTTCATCCCCGGTCAGTGCATCCCCAGACAGTGCTCCCAAAACGCCCCACTGCCGCTGGCTGTACAGCTTGGGATAGCGCCCCAACCCAACCCCAGCAACAAGCAGTGCACCCCGGACAGCGGCCCCAACCCACTCCCCTCCATGGGCAGCGATGCTCCCAGATAGCACACCCAACCAGCCTGAAACACAGGCTGTGAGGTCCACACGGACAGTGTCCACTGCCCACAGTAGGGCGGGCACCGCCAACCCAACCCCGCATGCTGCAGGAACTGCGCCGGGGATGGTGAACCTATGCGGCCACCTTTTCCCCTTCATTGCTGGGCTGTAGTCTCCTTTCTCGCCACCAACCATACGGCCCCAACCCACCACCATCCAAGGGCAGTGCACCCCCAGATAGGGTCCCCAATCCTCTCCCTTCCGTGGGCAGTGCCACCCCAGGTAACACACCCAACCAAACCCTGAATACGGGCAGTGACACCCTGAATAGCACCTACTGCCCAGGGCATGGCGCCCCCAACCTGCCCTCTGTGACACAGGCCATGCAGGCCGGGATGGCGCACTGAAAAAAAACCACCTTAAACTTCATATGGAACCAAAAGAGAGCCTGCATAGCCAAGTCAATTCTAAGCAAAAAAAAACACAAGCAGGAGGTATCACACTACCAAACTTCAAACTATACTACAAGGCTACAGTAATCAAAACAGCATGGTACTGGTACCAAAACAGAGATATAGACCAATGGAATGGAACAGAGGCATCGGAGGCAACACAACATATCTACAACCATACAATCTTTGATAAACCTGACAAAAACAAGCAATGGGGAAAGGATTCCCTGTTTAATAAATGGTGTTGGGAAAACTGGCTAGCCATGTGCAGAAAGCAGAAACTGGACCCCTTCCTGACACCTTACACTAAAATTAACTCCAGATGGATTAAAGACTTAAACATAAGACCGGGCACCATAAAAACCCTAGAAGAAAATCTAGGCAAAACCATTCAGGACATAGGAGTAGGCAAGGACTTCATGACCAAAACACCAAAAGCATTGGCAACAAAAGCCAAAATAGACAAATGGCACCTAATCAAACTCCACAGCTTCTGCACGGCAAAAGAAAGAGTCACTAGAGTGAATCGGCAACCAACAGAATGGAAAAAAATTTTTGCAGTTTACCCATCTGACAAAGGGCTGATATCCAGAATTTACAAAGAACTAAAACAGATTTACAAGAAAAAAACAAGCCCATTCAAAAATGGGCAAAGGATGTGAACAGACACTTTACAAAAGAAGACATACATGAGGCCAACAAACATATGAAAAAATGCTCATCATCAATGGTCATTAGAGAGATGCAAATCAAAACTACATTGAGATACCATCTCACGCCAGTTAGAATGGCGATCATTAAAAAATTTGGAGACAACAGATGCTGGAGAGAATGTAGAGAAATAGGAATACTTTTACACTGCTGGTGGGAGTGTAAATTAGTTCAACCATTGTGGAAGACAGTGTGGTGATTCCTCAAGGACCTAGAAATAGAAATTCCATTTGACCCAGCAATCCCATTACTGGATATATATCCAAAGGACTATAAATCGTTCTACTATAAGGACACATGCACACGAATGTTCATTGCAGCACTGTTTACAATAGCAAAGACCTGGAACCAACCCAAATGCCCATCGATGATAGACTGGACTGGGAAAATGTGGCACATATACACCATGGAATATTATGTAGCAATCAAAAACGATGAGTTCGTGTCCTTTGTAGGGACATGGATGAATCTGGAGAACATCATTCTCAGCAAACTGACACAAGAACAGAAAATGAAATACCACATGTTCTCACTCATAGGCGGGTGATGAACAATGAGAACACATGGACACGGGGGGGGGCCCTACACACTGGGATCTATTGGGGGGAATGGGGAGGAACAGCAGAGGGGGGAGCTGGGGAGGGATAGCACGGGGAGAAATGCCAGATATGGGCTAAGGGGAGGAAGGCAGCAAATCACACTGCTAAGTGTGAACCTATGCAACTATCTTGCATGTTCTGCACATGTACCCCAAAACCTAAAATGCAATAAAAAAACCAAACAAACAAACTAAAACAAGAGGTCTATTCCTAAGTCAGTTTTGGACTGTTGTTTGTTAAGACCACTGCTTGGGATAAAGAAAAAAAAGGGAATCTAATGTAAAATAAATAAGTGTTTTAAAAAGAGAAACAAGAATAGATACAAGAAATAGAAACAGCAATATAAGAAAATGAAGACCAACAAGAAAATACTAAGGAGAAGAAAAACCAGACTGGAAGAAAGGAGAACGAACAGGTAAGGGAATCAGGAGGCCTATTATGCCTTTTGTCCCCTCCCTGATTCATTAAATTTGAAAGACTATCCCAATGTAAAAAAAGACAAGCAAAGGGATACACAAATAATCACCCCCCAAACTTTGTTAATAATGACACAATACTACCACTGTCACTTGGCTCAAGTGCCAGCAG